GTGCTCTGTGGGAGAAGTCGTGCCATGGGGCACATCTAGCTCTCACCCACCGCACACCATCAGGTTACAGGCTGTACCTATCACCTTCAAAAGCCACAACGGAATGTAAATGCAATAATTCACTCAACATCTGGGTTTCCACATCTGGAAAGAAATGGCCTTCCACTTCATTCCCCCACTAGGACCCTAAACAAAGCCCACCACACCTTCGGTCAACACAAGCATACTGAGCTTACGGGGCCAACAGGCTGCAGCCCTGTGGCCACCCATGGCCGGCGAGCAGCTGGGGTTGCTGTGGGCACTGAGGGCTGCCTTTCTACGTCAACAAATGCCCTGGGGCATCGTCCACACACAATGGCTCCTCGCTGGCCCTCCTTACTAAGGGGCCTCTGGGTTGACGCACTCCAGGCCACCCACTTGGATGGATATTTTCTCACTTTTTCCTGAGAATTGACTGAAGCAAAAGGGTCCCTACTGAACCGTCACCCACCCCCACCGGAACCTTCTGCCGCTGGGTCTCTGCCTGGCACCCGTCAGCCTCCTCCAAGCCAGCACCTCGAGACCTCGCCAAGTGCCGCGTCGCGCCACATCAGCTCCCCCTGCCCCCAATCCCGTCTCACTCCGCTCTCCCTGAGATGACCCCGTCTCTCCAGCCCTGTCCTGGCCGGTCTCCGCTGCTGTTTCCTGAGCTTGGCCACTGGCCCCGGGTCTTAACCTGGACTGTCCAAGTCTGTCACCTACGCTGCCACAAGGTGTTCTGTCCAACACACAGCTCTGGCTGCGATGCTTCAATCCACAGTCCGAGGCCCCGAAAGAGCCTCCGCAGTCAGAACCAAGGTCCAGCTCCGTGGACACAGCCCAGGCAGGCGGGTTTGCGCCATCTGGCTCTGTCCCTCAGGAAGGCCCTTTCCCTGTAATGTCCTGTGCCACGCTCATTCCTCCAGGACTCAGCCAGGCCCTGCCCCCCTTACCCGGGTGGGCAGACCCCCTCAGGTTGTACCGTGCCTGCCTACAGCGTGTCCCCCCGGTTCCCTGCTCCCCTCCAGGGCAGGCACTGTGCTGACCCCACTGTCCGCACCTCACAGGGCCGGCCCCGCAGGCACCGCGAAGGCTGGTTCAGGATGAGCCTCTCAGCGTTCAGGCTTTAACTCGTTTGCGTTTGCTGCTTTGTGATTCTCAGATAAATTTTTACATAGGAAAGTACCTGGATTCACTTAAAGAGACATAATTGCTTTTAGAAAAGAAAGTGGCATGCTTTGCATGAAACCTCTTCTTAACCTTCACTTCCTGAGGCAAGGAACCCGCGGCAGTGCGGTGAGCGCAGTGGGTGCCGCTCAGCAATGGTGAAAGCAACAACGGTAAGTGCCATGACTCCTAAAACAAACCTGCCTACAAAAGGCAACAGCAGCAGCAACACATCTTACAGGAGGACGCGCGTTCCCAGAACCTCAGCCTTCCCATGCTACAGGAACACATCTTACAGGAGAACGCGCGTTCCCAGAGCCTCGGCCTTCCCATGCTACAGCAACACATCTTACAGGAGGACGCGCGTTCCCAGAGCCTCGGCCTTCCCATGCTACAGCAACACACCTTACGGGAGGACGCGCGTTCCCAGAGCCTCAGCCTTCTCGTCCTACAGCAACACACCTTACAGGAGGACGCGCGTTCCCAGAGCCTCGGCCTTCCCTCGGCCTTCCCATGCTACAGCAACACACCTTACAGGAGGACGCGCGTTCCCAGAGCCTCAGCCTTCCTGTCCCACAGCAACACACCTTACAGGAGGACGCGCGTTCCCAGAGCCTCAGCCTTCCTGTCCCACAGCAACACATCTTACAGGAGGACGCGCGTTCCCCGAGCCTAGGCCTTCCCGTCCTACAGGAACACATCTTACAGGAGGACGCGCGTTCCCAGAACCTCAGCCTTCCCATGCTCCTCCAAAGGTTGGGGAAAGTGAAATGGCTTTGCCCAGTCACTCAGTTTCAAGGCGAATGCCAATTCATTAAGAGATTACCATCAGCACGTGAGAAGATCCAGTTTCAGAGACATCTTTGATAAACTTCATCACATCACGATGCAACGAACCTACCAGTCAAGATCATCTGGATGCTGCACTCACCGCTGACCCCGTGTCCCCAGAGTCCCCACGTCCCTGCGCACAGGTGAGGGAGGGGTTAAGGAGATCACCATCATCATCGTCATCGCCTTACAAGCCCCCTCCCCCGGTGGCTGAGACTTTACTCAGCAACTTCAAAGCCGCCTCTGGCCCCAGGACTGGTTTGAATTAAGGTTCTCTTTTCTCCTAGAGTCTCCGGGTCTGGGGAAAAAGTGCCGGCTGCTTCTGGATTTCATTAGGGGCAATTTTCTTATCTTTTCTTCGTCTTAGGTTTGATCCCTCGAAAATGCAACGTGGCAGCAAAGGGTCTGAATATCAAGGTGCCGGCTGGAAGGCACGCGTTGTCCCTGGGGGCCCCAGCGGGGGAGAAGAGCAGAAGAAAGGGGAACGAGAATCGCTGAGCCTTCTTCCCCATCATCAGATGCCCAGGGAACCATAAATTGTAAACTTCAAAGTACTATTTTACATTAAAATCAATAAAAAAAAAACCCTGAAAGAATTTTCCTTTTCAAAGATGCTATTTAAGCTTTAAAAAGTTCACTTGATAAGGTATTGTCATGTACACACCTGGCAGCAGATTAAAGCACATGCCAAGAGCAACTCAGAAAGGCACGTTCATCCTAAAGGCTGGCCAGGCCGGCGGGGCCTGAGGAGGGGTGACCCCAGGGCAGATGCACACTGCTGCTTTGGGCCTGGGCTTGCCCACCAGCAGGGAGACGGGGGAGGGTTTCACCCCAGGACCCGAGAGCCGAAAGCACCACTGAGAAATGCCCCTGGGGTGAGGGTCAGCCCATCCAAACCTGGCCTGGGGCAACTGACCTGAAAGAGGGCCACCTACTTTCTCCCGGCCGACCAGGAGAGCCCTGCCTTCTCTCTGCACCGGAACGTGGCCACACTGGGCCCTGGGTTCCCCAGGCGGCACCAATGTTCACTCAGGCAGTAAGTCCACCAGGCCGCCATCTACACCTCTCATGGTGGCCAGAGACTTGATATTCAGAGAAGCTTAAAAGGGGCCCAGTTCTCAGTGGGGTGACAAGCAAGAGAGGGCAGTGGGCATGCATTCCATGAGCTGTCAAGGCGACAAGCCCACGCCAGGGCTCAGGTTTCACATGGGCTCATTTTCGGGTGTGGTACGCATTTGGGGAAGTCCTTGTCTCTTCAATTGGACGGGAACTGTCAACATGACATTACGTCTGATCAAAAGTAAGAAGAAACATCAAAATCAAACCAATGAGATCAGAGGAAACTGGTCCGGGGGCAGGGCAAGCAGGTCCACTGAGGTGCTGACGAGCTCCCTCCTGCATCACCCGGGGTGAATTCTGCCGAGCAGCCGGGCAGCGTGGGCCCCGCCACATGGGGTCTGTTCCTCCTGTGAACCACTGAGTGCCTGGTGTGGTGGGGACCTGCATCTCCTGGGCCAGGCCTTTATGTCACCAGATCTCAACAACCTTTCCAAGGGGGGGCACTAGACCCCAGCTAGAGAAAAGTGAGCAGACACTGAGAAGGTTTCATGACTTATTCACTGTCCCCAGAGAGCACGGTGCAGAGTCCACAGAAAATGTTTACAGGTGTGTCCTTGTGCAGAACCTCACCTCCAGACGTGCACACACACAGGTGCACACAAAGATGTGCATACTCATAGACGTGTGCACAGAGATATACAAAGACAGGTGCACGCAAAGACACATAGCACGTGTGTGTATACTCAATACAGACATGCACACAGAGATATACACACAAAGACAGGGGCATGCAAAGACACACAGCACATGTGTATACTCATACACAGATACATGCATGCAAAGACAAGTGCATGGGTGTGTACTCATCCAGAGATGTGCACACACATGCATACCTGCATGCACACAGACACGCATTCACACCCACAGACATGTCCATGTGCACACGCATGGACACACCCACAGATATGTGCAAAGCTGCAGACACCTGCACAAGCACCCTGAAACATGCACACAGATGAACACCCACCCACAAACACAAACACACACACACGTAGACACGCACATCCATACAGAGATGCACACATATGCCTCTCAAAGACACATGTCTGCACATGTGTTTTATGTGTACATAAATCAGGACAAGACCATGGAGTGAGAGAAAGGAAAACTCTGAGAGCTGTATGGGGCTTCCGTACGGTACTGGTGGTGTTTTCTAACAGAGCCATGGTCTGTCAGGCTCTGGGAATTGATGTGGGCTGTGGGCTGCTCCCCGGGGCTCTGTCACTCCACCACAGCAGGTGAAGTTGTCATTTTAAAATGATGACAAGAAAACCCCTACTGCCCAGCAGCCCATTTTGGTCACAGGCGTGACTCCAATCTGGCCTCCATCAAAGAAGAAATAACTAGTTGATGAGAAAAGCAAACACTGTGTCTTTAAAAATCACCCTGTGGCTAAACTCTAACGGATCAGACTCACACGAAGGAAGCAGGATGAAGGGTGACAATTGTGTCTTGATTTGTGGGAATAAATGAAGAAATATTTATTTGCATTTGACATCGCATCACAAGAGGTTTGCGGAAGAGGAATCAGGAAATTCTGAGATTCTGAAGATGTTCACCTTCATTTCTCATGAACGTAACACGCTGCACAGAAGTCCCTGCTGCTGCCTCCATCACTCTCATCACCAGGACCCAGACCCAAGTGGGCTCCTGCTTCCACTGAATGCTCAGGAGGGAGCGCTAAGACCCGGCGGTAAGAAGACAGTCTCCAAGACTCCACGCTTGGCACTGAAGAATGAACGGAGACACCCCTGCTCACCCACAGACCCGGTTTTAGACACGCTGATCTCCAGCAAGTGCTCCCTGGAGTGTGTGCAGAGGAGAAGCTGCCAGCCTCAGGTGCGAAGTGCAGCCTGGAGACTCACCTGAAGGCCGCCAAGTACTCGGCGTCTCCCATGGGGGGGTCCAGGCCGCCAGTGAAAGCCATGTTGACATTGAAACCCACGCCTGGCCCTGTGCCCACCTGTGGCCAGAAAGAGAGAAACGCACGTCACAGACCCTGAGCGGGACCTCTCTGACAGGAACACCTGGTGCACGTGGCATCAGGCTGGGCTCGGCCTTGCTGGGCCCCCAGGGAGAGCCCACGTGTCCTGGTCTCCTGGTGCCTATTCATTAAAAGGTGCACAAACGGGTGCCCCACCGCCACTGGTGCACTGACGTCAACACGGGGGCCCCTTTCCCAGCTGCTGCAGGCTCTCACTGACCCTGCCCTCGGCATGCCAAGGCCCTGCACTGACGTTTCCGGGGACATGCCGCCCTGTGTTGTGTGCCATAGGTGACATCAGGGAGTCAGACCTGGGTCTCTTTGGGCAGAAAGTATCTCGGATAAGCCCGTCATTTTCTACTTCCTCTACAAAAGTAAGATCCGGAGGCTGACGGAGCCTCTTCCCTGGATGAAAGCCCTGACGCTGGGGCCTCTGTTCACAGGGGCAGGCTCTGAAGGGGGACCTGGGCGCTGTCAAGGAGCCGCTGGGTCTGCCATTCCTGGGGCAGCCACAGAGCCCCACGCCGGCGAGAGGACGGTGTTCAGAGCCCCCTGCCTGAGGGTGTCCCGTGGAAGACAGTGGCCTGGGCCCTGCCCGGAGGAAGACGGGCACCACACACCTCCTCCTTCACTAACACCTCCGTCCACCTGGATGGGAACCAGAAACGATATCTACCCTCTCATTCGTACATCGGACAAAACACAGGCCACGTGTGCACACGCGACGCGAAGTAGGCTGACGCCTGACCGGTCACCGTCTGGGCTTGAGTGAGCACGAAGGCCTCGCTCGCTGCGGCTGGGCAGCTGTGGACCGTCGGCCCTGTGCCCCCAGAGTGGCTCCCTGCAGCCTCCACCTTCCTCCCAGAGGCCCGCACACACTCCGCTACCTACCTCGTCAGGAGCCCCGCTGCCTGGGAAGAAGTTCCCGTCATCGTAGCGGTGGAGGGACACATACAGGACGCTGGGGTCGCTGTAGAAAGCCTGCTGGGTCCCGTTTCCGTGGTGCACGTCCTGAAAGGGCAGGGACAGCCACCTCAGGGCTGAGCCGGGTGTCAGAGGGCAGACTCTCCGCAGGGCCCTCCCCAACCCCACAGCTCTTGCTCAGCAATGACCTTGCCCTCCATCCTGGCCTGCGCCTGGTAGGCACGTGGCTGGGGCTGCATGATCAGGGCTATGTGGTACAGAGTGGCAGGGGTTCTAAGGGCCAGTGTAGGCCGGGCGCGGTGGCTCACGCCTGTAATCCCCACACTTTGGGAGGCCGAGGCAGGCGCATCATGAGGTCAAGAGATCAAGACCATCCTGACCACATGGTGAAACCCCGTCTCTACTAAAAAATAAAAAAAACCAGCCAGGCATGGTGGTGCATGCTTGTAGTCCCAGCTACTCGGGAGGCTGAGGCAGAAGAATCACTTGAACTGGGAGGCAGAGGTTGCAGGGAGCTGAGATCGCATCACTGTACTCCAGCCTGGTGTCAGAGACAGACACCGTCTCAAAAAAAAAAAAATAAATAAATAAATGCCAGTGTTTGCATCTGCAGCGCTGCCTCCCCTTGCCCTTGTGCCATGGCCCAATCCTGACTCCAGCAGCGGGGGGGGCTGGGGTTCAGCTGGGCCTGGAAGCCGCCATTTCCCTAATGAAGCCATCTGACCTATTTCCTGCACCTGCTGTCTGACAAGTGAGCCGTTTCCTCGGCCTCTGTGAGGGTCACTGGCTGTGGCCCGCCCACTTGCAGGCACATGGGAGGTGCCAATCCCATGCCAGGCAGGGGGTTCACAGGAGACAGGTCCCACGTGGCTGTGAGTGACAGGCACACACAGCACAGGGTCCAGCGCCCAAACGGCAAGCACCGTTTCTTAACCACAAAACCCACAGGTCAAATGCACCAGAGTGCAAGGTGAGAGGCAGCCTGAGGCTTCTACCAGCTGTGGCTGTCCTGCCCCTGGCCACGCCGCAGGCATCCCCCAGGACGGGCAGGCGAGGGGTGGCCCTGCTGAGCACAGCTGTGTGCCTGAGAAGACGGCACGCAGCCTTCATGTTCCTGGTATGGGAACTTGCCGCTCCGTCATCCGTGCTCATCACAGGAAAGGTGAGGAGAGATAGGACAAGCAGCTTCGATCCAACTCAGTAGGTAATCGTCACGAAGACGCACGCGGATGCTCTCCCGATGTGCGGCTTCCCACTGAGATGCCCCTGTCCACGTGGTGAGTACCCGGGTAACATCACAGCTCAGCGCATAGGGAGCACGCCACACGGTGTCTACGCAGGCTGTCTACATGGGCGGTCTACACAGGTGGTCTATGCAGGCGGTCTGCGTAGGCTGCCTGCGTGCCCTAGCACTTCACCTTGTGCTGGGGAGGGGTCCCCCAGTCTTTAGCTGTCAATGGCCTCACATTGCTCTCTCCCCGGGGACCCCTGCCTGTTCCCTTAGGAGGAGCTGAGGGAGGGCTCCCAGCTCCCAGTCCTTGGGTGTGGAGGGCCCGCTGTTCTGCTGCCTTCCCGACCTACTTCTCCAGTGAGCGCGGCTGCCTGGGGGCTGTCTGGCTGCCCGGCTGTGCCATGGAGTTTCTTTAACCAAACTCAGGACTTTTCCAATTCAAACCATAACCCTACCTGATGGAGCCTGCTTTTTTTCCCTTAAAAATTAGGAAATCAATCATAAATACCCAAGAGAACACTAAGTATGTATATTTAAAAGAGTGACAAGATGAACACCTTGGTTATTAATTTCCAGTATAAGAATGAGCACACCTATTGGTGGAATTCAGATTCAGACATCACACTGCATTATTTAGACCCCCATTCCGGGAGGACCAGGTGCCCACACAGCAGCAGGAAGGCAAGGCTCTCACTGGGGTGACAGGGAAGCAGAGTGCCACCTTCTGCCAGCACGAGACCCCTCCCAGGCTCCCAGGCCACACGCATGGTCGATGTGGACACAGGCTTCTCCCCAAAGCCTGCCTTCCAAGAGGATCTCACCAAGGGAGGCCCTGGCCACTGCCCCCACCCTCAGGGACATTCCTGGACACGCCAGGACACCATCTGCCAGGGCCGCCTTGTAGAAGCTGCAACATGACTCGCAGCAGGTTTGGGGCTTTAATTTTCTGCGTTTTTGAGACATTTTCAGAAACTCAAGCTTCCCAGGTCCAAAGGCGCACCCAGTCTCCCCACATGCTGCTGTCTGCTCGGGGAGGACACAGGAGCTCCCTGAGCTGAGCTTGAGGACGGGGCTCCGCTTACCCAGTCCACGATGAGGATCTTGCTCACGCTCAACCTCTGCTGCAGAAGCTTGGCTGCCACGGCCACGGAGTTGAAGTAGCAAAAACCCCTGCAGGAGAGAACCCATGCTGGGGACAAAGCGCAGGGGGGCGGTGGCCAGTTTCTCTACAGCCCGCTAGGGAGCCACCTGGGGTGCGCACAGACCTGAGAGGCTCTGTGAGTGCACAGCTCCTGAACGCTGCAGAGGGAGCCTTCACAGATACCACAGAATCGGCTAAGGGAGAGACACGTATGCACCCCACACACAGACGCTCTCACGCACACACACATGCATGCATGGCTCCCGAACAAGCCACTGGGGAATCTTAGCCGATGCCACAGTGTCGGCTAACCGATACAGACATGCATACACCCCACACAGACACACACACCACAGAGACACACACACCAAGCAACACACCCTCACACACCCCACACAGATACAACATGCACAGATACACGTGAACACCCCATACAGAACCACTCACACATACACAAACCACACACACACATACACAAACCACACACACACATACACAGACATCACACACATCACAGTCACACACACACACACACACACACACGCACACACACACACGGTTCCTGCTTGGAGGTCCCACACGCTCCTCTGGTCTCTGGTAGGGAACCCTATTTCGCATGTGACCGACATTTCCCTCCTCCTTGCCTGGAAGCTTCCACTCAGGAGCCGCCCACCATGGCCCACGAGACATGGCCACTGTTCATCCCAGTCGCTTGCTGCTGACCTTTCTATATTCCAATGCATAAATCCCCATTAATTTTAGAGAGTCTTACTCAAGAGACCAAGAAAACAAGCTATGAACTGACTCAAATCACAATGAAAAGCTTCTCAGTCTCAGTTTCCCTTTGTCTGAATGCCCTTGGAGACAGAAGAACTGGTGGTTTAATTTTCAGAGCCCAGGCTGGCATGGGGAAGCCCACACGCCTGGGGGCACCCTAGACTCCGAGCTCCTGCAGTGGCTCACAGGGAGCACAGTGGAGAACTGCAACCAAAAAGAATTGGTTTCTCTTCGTCTGAGGTTCATTATTCAGAATATCCCACGCCTCAGGTTCAATCGCAAAAGAAATGTCAGAGAAACGGAGCAGCAAGCCCGGTGCCACAGGGACTTGGGTGCTCTGGGATGTTTACCAACCACGTGGTTCCAGGTAAAGCCACAAAGATTCCAACAGGAATGCCTCCCTGGTAGCTGCAGTCTCTTCTCTGCACAAAGGAGATTTCACTCTAACACGCGGACCTGACCATCTTACCCCCCGACGTGAGAGGGCGCTGCTGGCCCCGGCACTGATGCCGCATTCCCGGGGTAGCAGTGAGGCCCTTTCCTGGGCCCCTGCGGTTCCGTCTCGCTCTGACTGCTTCCTGGCCACACCTTGATAATGAACTTGTCGGTATCTGCACTTGTCTTGCAGTGCCCGTCTGACAAACTGCGGATCAAATTCGCCGAGGCAGAGCCACAGGCCACCTCCTCCTCTGCAGCTGGCGAGATCAGGCACCCCTTCTCCATCTCCAGAGCACGGGAGCCACTCCTTCCAGCACCCATCCTCCTCACTAGAGTGGCTAACGTCCCCCCAGGCGGCATGCTCTTACTTACAGCTCATTCACTCACCACCCAGGCCGCAAGGCACTCCACGCACAGCCGTGGTCGGCCCTCCCACTGGTTCTCCGGGACGACCCACACCCCACACTCCCCACCCTGCCCAGTCCTTGGCCATGTGGACAGTCAGCAGTCTCTGAAAGACCCAGAACAGCATCTGGATAGCTGCCTGTGTGGACAAAGCTCTGAGACTTGCCACGTCAGTACCCGGCGGTTGGCAGGCAGCTAAAAGGCCACGCACGAAATGGCTTGAGTCCTCCAGACAATAAAGGGCCGCAGGGACTCACTTGGGGAGAAGTGGTGTTTCCTCCCAAGTGCTGACGACTCCTTAACAACCAGAGGCTTCTCTGGACTGACCTCCACAGGCCCTTTCCTTCCTTTCTCTCCGCCTGTCTCCATCATAACCAAGCGGTGATGCTCACAGGCCTGGGCGCCCGGAAGCTGGGGCCAAGCTGGCACGTGGTGCCCTGGGCTCCCCGTGGTCACTCAGGCACACACCCAGCCCTAAGGGAGGGGATGGAGACTGGGCTCCCCTGCCGCGTGGGGCTGCGGCGTGTACTCACATGGGCGTGCTCTCCTCCGCGTGGTGTCCAGGGGGGCGGACCACAGCAAAGCCATTCTGCAGGTGACACCAGACAGCCGGGAGAGAGTGACAAAGACATGCTTTGTAGCCACGGGAAAATGGTTGCATACTCAACTTTCAGCAGAGCTGGGCTACGTGGGAGGACAGTTTCTCTCTGCACCCTGGCCACAGTGAGGCAGGGCCAGCTGGGAGCCTTTCCGAGGCCTGGGACCTTCTCCTAAATAGGTCTCGGAGCTACTAATGGTTCCTCCGAAACGCAGTCACCAGGATGACAGGTGGGTGCCTCGCCCTGCTCTCAGCGCTGTCGGCAAGGTGTGGGGCCCTTGGTTCAGGGGTCTGGGTGACGTGGAAGGGGTGCACTTGTTCCCCATCGGCTGGGGACCAGGACCCGCTAGGCGGCCACTGGAGGAAGGTGGAGCAGAAGAGGCCCCGCTCACACTTGGCCGCACGGCAGAGTGCTCAGGCTCTGCCCCAGTTCAGCCTTAACGTGACTGCCTCTGCCCTTGCTGTGGTTGCTCCCAGGACGGCGGGCAAGCGGGCAGCCCTTGAAACAGCTCCACTCGCACTGGGCTGAAACGCTGTTCTCTGCCCTGTCACTTAGGCGTCAAAAATCCATGTGCAAGCCACTCCATAGCTGCTGCCATGAAAATGGATTACGGGCCTCCTGATCTCACCAGCAACAGGACATGGCATGGTCCAGGTCTGTAATGGAACCTCAACAGAGCCGGCCAGCCACCAGTGAGCACAGCCTGGGCGGGGTGAGCAGGGACCAGGCTCAGGAACGGGCAAGGGCAGCCAGCGAGGTGGTGGCAAACGCTCTCGAGAGGCCCCAGCCCCCCTGCATTTCTGCACTTCCACAGCCTGTGCGTGGTGCTTCCGAGGGCAGGCTGCACACCCCTGCGGCCTCGAACCCTGCTGAGGGTCTGCTGGCCGCAGTCCTGAGGCTCCATGTGCTCTTCTCACTGCCCTGACACTGTGCCAGGGGCCGGGCAGGGGACAGCACGAAGGTGTGTGTTTGTGTGTTCTGTGTTGTGTGCATGTGTGTGTGTTGTATATCATGTGTGTTGTGTATTGTGTGTTGTGTATGTGTGTGGTTGTGTGTTGTGTGCGTGTGCTGTGTGTGTATCGTGTTGTGTGTTGTGTATCGTGTCGTGTATGTATATTTTGTGTGTGTGTTGCGTATGTGTGTTGTGTATTGTGTGTGTTGTGTATGTGTGTGGTGTGTGTGTGGTATGTGGTATGTGGGGTGTGTGTGTGTGTGTGGTATGTGTGTTGTATTGTGTTGTATGGTGTGTGTGTATGGTGTGTGCGTGTGTGTGTGGTATGTGTGTGTTGTGTGCGTGTTGTGTGAGTACGCAGCTTCCCTTAACCACGTCCTCGAAGCAGTATTCAGACATGTTATTAGTTCTCCACCCTCAAACACACGTCCTTTTACACCCTGAGTAAAGACATGGGAAGGAAGTGTGGCAAAATTTGAGCTTTCAAGTAAAAATTCTAAGTTTGGAACACATGGTTCTGCCTCTGTAAGCCTGATGGCTCTCCCTCCACTTACACGACTTCTGGTGAGATGGGAGTGATATTAATGGTTTCAAAAATTGGGCCGGGGGCACTGGCTCACGCCTGTAATCCCAGCACTTTGGGAGGCCCAGGCGGGTGGATCACCTGAGGCTGGGAGTTCGAGACCAGCCTGACCAACATGGTGAAACCCTGTCTCTATTTTAAAAAATACAAAATTGGCCGGGTATGGTGGCGCACGCCTGTAATCCCAGCTACTCAGGAGGCTGAGGCAGGAGAATTGCTTGAACCTGGGAGGTGGAGGCTGCAGTGAGCCAGGATCTCACCATTGCTCTCCAGCCTGGACAAGAGTGAAATCCTCCTTTCAAAAAAAAAAAATTAAAAAACCCCCCAAAATTAATGACCTTTTTTAATACTGTATGTGTCAGAATATGGAAGGTCCATGTAACTCCATGAAGCTAAATTTCCAAATGACCAATGCAGAGTAGGCGGCTACCAATCACCCATGAATGAGATACCCATTTGACCTCCAAGACGGGCTAATGCTTTGGTTAAACGTAACGAAGGAAGAGGAAGAGGAGGTCCCGACTTGAGCTCAGCTTCCACACTGCGGCTCATTTTAAGACACTAGCACTTGCTGAATTTTTGGCATTCTGTCAAAGAATACCAACAGCTAGAACACCTCTGAAAAGTCTATGAAGTCCTCTTGCATTTCTAGTTACGCATCCATGTGAGGCCAGGATTCCTTCATGAACTTCAACATGTGGCAAGAATGATGCCAAGCTCTGGCTGCCGTCTACAGAGCCAGACAGTAGAGCTATGTTTAAATTAACAAACATTTTGAAAATGTCTCAGTGTTAATCTCTCATATGGTCAACACTGTGGATGTAACTCATGGAAACAGAAGCTCTTTGGGTTCCTCTACAATTTTCAAGAGTGTACAGGGTTGTTACGGTGCACATCTTTGAGAATCTGCACTATGGCATAACCTGTCACAGTGTGGGCACGTCTCTTTCATTCAGTAGCGAGGCTGTGCTGACAGAGGTGCCTCCCCGCCTGATGAGTGGGGGACACAATGGGCGGTCCCTACCCACACTGGGAATCTGTGGCAGGCCTCCTTCTGGGAGTCCCCAGCTGCTCAGGCCCCTACTGACCTTCAGCTCCCCTGTGGCCACCTTGAAGACCAGCTCCACCACGCAGCCCACGGCCAGACGGGCGGCCCCCGCTGAGTGCACCTCATTCCAGATGGTGTCACTGTCCACCTGTGGAAACAACACCCCACAGTGAGGTCACGTCCCCAGTTACTGTCATCACCAGCGCTGGCTGGGCAGAGCAGCTCAGGCCCCATGGGCTCTGCCTCCAAAGCCTCGGGGCCAGTCAGAGCCGGGGCAGCCTCAGCCCACATTCGGGCTTTGATCATTTTAAGACATACCACAACATTTAAACGGGAAGATACAAGTGAATTTGCCAGAAATAAGACTCATGTGTCCTGACCTGCTCTGAGGCATTCTCTATGTCCTCAACTGCTCCAATATACTTGGAACTAAAAGGAATGATGGCAAGGTGATCTACTTCCTCTTTTTCTTTTTCTTTAAAACCGGAATTGTAGTTAGAAGAGCTACAGGTTGACTATCTCTGATCTGAAAATCTTAAATCCAAAATGCTATAAAAGCATTTTGTAGGCTGAGGTGGGAGGATTGCTTGAGCCCAGGAGGCTGAGGCTGCAGTGAGCTGTGAATGCACCGCTGCACGTCAGTCTAGGTAACGGAGTGAGGCTCTGCCTCCAAAGAGGAAAAAAAAATTGGAAACTTTTTGAGTGCCTATGCAATGCTCAAAGGAAATGCACTCTGGAGCATTTTGGATTTCAGATTTTTAGATTAAGGATGCTCAACCGGTAAGTATAATGCAAATCTTCCAAAATCTGAAATACTTCTGGCCCCAAGCATTTCGGATAAGGGATAGTCAATCTAACAATTGGCAGCGAAAGGAAATGTGAGGGGAATCTGGACCAGTCTCTTCCAACACTGACTTCTCCTGTGGTGAGTTTAAGTGGAAGCTCCACGTGCTGACCAGTGCAGTTAAGCAGGCCTGGGGGCATGGGCGGGCGAGGAGAGCTTCCCCACTCTGCTCTGCTGATGGCACCTGGCTCTGCCCAGGCACCCGCAGGTCAGCTCGCTGGCCTTTTCCACTTCAGGCAGAAAAACTGTTTCACAAAACATGTCAACAATCCCCGACTATGTGCTGGGTCATTTATTTATTTAAGGACAGTAGAAATTTCTCACAGCCCTGGCTCATTTTGAGAGGGAAATACAACTGGGACCTGGACAGTCAGTTCTGTAGAGCAGTCTCCTAGGGGAGTCTGGCCAGGGGAGGGAGGCCTCAGGGGGCTGAGAGGAAATACACAGGCCTTAGGCTGGCCCCAGAGCACCTGAGCACTGTCCCCAAGTGTGTCCCTTGCCTGCAAGATGCCGTGGGGTGAGCAGGCTCCCTGGGCAAACACACTGGGGGGACCTGGATGTGACTGCCCGGTAGAGGACATAGAAGCTGTCATTGCAGGTTGCTTGGCTTCACCACGGTGCTGACCAGGCCTACTGCTGCTCTATTGCAGGGCGCCTCCTTCTCAAACTGAGCCTCTCTGAGTGCTGAGTGCTCTGGGCTCATAAGCAGGAGCCAGGCGTGTCCACCCTGCCTCGTCCTTCCCCAGACCAGGCCCTCGAGCGCTCCTGTCCACCACCAGGCAGACTTGCCACTTGACGGACACCACTCATTATGTGGGGAGGGAGGGTTTCCTTCCAGGTGGTCTTAAAGCTTCATCATCAGAGCAAGGTGAGTTAAAATGCGCTTTCAAGGGGCTGAAGACATTTCCTGAAAGTATTCAGCGATGGTTTTCTTTTCAATGACCAAACTTCTATATTCTATAAATGGTTTCCAAATGTCAAAATACTCCATTTTACCTCCCTCCACAGCATTAATATTCAACCTACAAAGCATGGCTTCTCCTCTAAATAACGCTGTATTGTTACTCATGGAAGCAGCCACATAAATAGGACTATTCTGGACCGATGACTTCAGCCGGAGAATCAATTCATTAAAATTAAAGGTAGCAGGGGTGTGGCAGCTCATGTCTGTATTACCAACACTTTGGGGGGCCGAGGCAGGAGGATCGCTTGAGGCCAGGAGTTTGAGACCAGCCTGGGCAACATAGTGAGACCCTATCTCTGCAAAAACTAAAAAAAAATTATCCAGGTGTGGTGGGCTGGACCTGTATTCCCTGCAACTCAGGTGGCTGAGGCGGGAAGGTCCTTGAGCCCAGGAGGTCGAGGCTGCAGTGAGCCATGAACGCACCACTGCACTCCAGTCTGGGTAACAGAGTGAGGCTGTCTCCAAAGAGGGGAAAAAAAAAATCCAAGGTGACCTCCCAGGAGTGAGAGCCGGGCAGGATGAGATTCTGTAGCTGCCCTGTGTCTGCCGGGGGAGGCGGGGTCCTGGGCAGGCCAGGCCGAGGCTGCTACTGTGGGGACAGCACCCAGAGATGATTTTTCTTGAACATACAATGAAGTGAATGAGGATGAGGCCAACACTGCGGAGCGGAGGGTGGAGGATGCCCATGTTCTGAAGGGCCTTCTGGGGGCTCTGCACAGCTGGGGTGCCAAGGGGCTGCTCGGTCCACCAGGTGCCTGTGTCCAAAGGCCCAGCTGTACCCCCTCCCATGGGGCCCTGGGGTTCAGAAGTTTCTGGAATGTCTTGCACAGAGTGAGGGACAAACCCCCAGCCCCACCGCAGGGCCCCAGTCCCCAGAGAACTCAAGAGACCCCTTCGCCTGCTTCAGGACCATGGCTCCAGCGCTCAGGAGTGAGCACGGAGTTCCAGGATCTCCAGCAGTCTTGCAGGGAGCCTGGCCCAGGCATGCACCACTGAGCAGCAGCCTGGCTCGGGGCAGGCAGCAGCAACTGCTAATGCGGGAAGGAGCAAATAGCTCACTCTGGTTTAAAAATTTCTCTCTCTCTCTCTCTCAAAAAAGGTGGGGAGGAAACATGGAGAAAGATTCCCATGGAGAATCTCATGGGCGGGCAGGGCTGGGAGGCCTTTGGGAAGGTCAGAGTTGCCGTAGGGAGCCGGGCGCACCGGAGCAGGCCAGGACCCTGCCAGGTGAGGCCAAGCAGGGACACCAGCTCCTCACCGTGCTGAAGCTTGCGGTCAGTGGAGAGGAGCTGACGTGGTATGAAAAGAGTCAAAGCACTTTCCGGCCCGCATTTCCCAGCACGGGGAGAGACGAGTTTCCGGTGTTCCCAGCCCCCATCCACCTCCACGCGGGTTTGCCGCTGCTGTCGGGAAAGGTGGCCGGCTCTGCTCGCCCGCTCTGCCCGCCCAGGCTTTGCGCCCACACTTTGGCTCCTGAGGTCTACCTTGCTCCTCCTGACACCCCAAAAGGCCGGCCCCTCCCAGCTCTGGAGGAGACACTGAAGCACAGGAGAGCTGCGTCTGTGCCAGGGACAGCGAGTGCACCCCACAGCCAGGGCGGGGCTGCGCAGGCCTCCAGGCGGCCTAACTGCCGGAAAACAACCGGATGACGACACACCCTACCGACTGCTGTACCTGAGGATGCCCCACGGCCCGCACTGCTCCCTGCCCATGCCAACAGGCTCCCCTCTCTGCCCGAGTCCACGTGGGGAGCTTCTCCATCTGCATGTGTGTTCCAGTGCATGCCTGTGCCCAGATGGGAGGGTGCAGCTCTCGCCTGTGTGCCTCAGATCTGGACTGAACACTTGGTGGGGGCTGCTGGGCTCACCCCTCGGCTCTGGGCCTGCACTCAGCTTTCATTTGCAAATGATAAATTCTGCCTTGCACAGGCGTGCTGGCTGCAGGGCAGTGCAAATTCAATTCTTTTCAAGTCTGGCCAAAAACTTGCCCCAAATTAAGAGATTGCAGCCTATTTACAATACAAAATAAAATAACTCTAGGAGGCATGGTGGTAGTATGAATAAATGCCGTTTATTCTCTTTCTGACGGGATAATTTTCAAAGCAGTGATTTTTATAAAAACTCAGGAAGAAAACAATTTTGTTTCATTTCTATAACAGAATCCAGACCTTGAGCTTCGCCCTGCGCGCTGTGATCACACACACGCTGCACTGTTTCGGCTGCAGCGGCTCCTACCGCCCGCGGGCGCCTGTCCTCCCTGCCTGTGACCCTGTGGGGATTTGCGGCACGGCGGGACCACGATAGCCCAGAACCTCTCGGAGGCTTGGCCTCACCTCCTCACGGCAGCCCTCGCTACTGTCACCTCTTCCCAGGCTGCATCAAGGAGGTTGGGGGCCGGGGAGAACCCCTTTGTTATTGAGAAGTTCGACTGCAAGACCTGACCGTTCCTGTGTGGACCGATGGGCAGATGCCCAGACCACAAAGTCCTTGTGAATTCGCGTGCCCAGGCCAGGACTATGTATCAGCAGCTCGCAGCGGGCCCGCCCAGCGAGCAGCCCCACAGACTCCATGTGGCCCATGAGAATCATGGTCACTGCATTGGGAGCCCCACCTGTGGCTTCGGGTGGAAACTGGGTACAGAATGAGGAATCACGCGTTCTACCCTTGCCATACTCGTGGGCTGATGTGAGCAGATGACTGCTGCAGACTGAGGAGGGGATGACAGGCTGGTTGCACACAGGATCCCGTTTCTCCTGTTCCTTACAGCGAGAGCCACTGCCCCCCAGAGCCCGAGCCGCGAGCACCAGATGACCTTCCTCAGAGAAAGGTGCCCGTGTCTGCGGTCAAAAGGCTCTTGGCACACGCGGCCTTTGAAGCCGCACATGGGCAGCCCCAGCCCGCCAGACCCTGTGTATGGAAAACACCTGGTAGCAATTACTTACTTTGAGGGAAGAGAGGCTGCGATTTCTGTGACCATTGGGACTGGAGAAGAAACAGGACATTATTTACACATTAAAGGAACACTTACCCCAACACCACCGCAGGGGAGCCGGACGAACACGGAGGCCAGTGAGCCTGTGGGGGGAGGGAGACGGTCAGAGAGGCCAGGGGCACACGGCCGAGGCGCTGGGCAGGCCCTGGGAGCACTCTGTGGCCTTCAGTGGTGCTTGGGCATTTGTGGGACACCGAGGGGCAACTGCTCCCCACATGACACCCTGTGGCCCCGATACCGGGTCAGCGCCTGGCCCTTAGAGGTGCCATGGCTCCTGTGAGGGCTGAGCCAAGTCATAGACCCTGGTGGGAGCACCTCAGATTGTTGTGGCATCAGCCCGTCAGGGGCCACGGGGAGGCACCAAGCCACTGGGGAGCATGAGGTACCCTGGTAGGTGCCTGTTGCAGCCCGTGCCCCTAAGGGGCAGTGTCTAACAGCAAGTTCTGCTCCTGGACCCTGAGCCTGGCTCCTCACTGAGCTCCTAGGGCTTGTGCAGCAGCCCCTCCAGTGCAAACAAGGGGCGGGTGTCAGGATTAAAGACGGGTGGTGGGGCCTCTTCGACCCTGAGATCCTTGGGAATGTATGCAGTGAGAGCTCCTCCCTTTGACCCACGCGGAGCGTGCACAGCTCACTGAGGGCTGCAAGGATGTCACAGCTGCAGGCCAGGTCGCCTCCCATGGAAACTGGGGCCCTCGAGGCCCCCACCCCACTGCTCTGGCACCCATACCTGCTCCAACGGTGGAAGTGCTCTGAGGACAGGGGCGCGGTCTTTTTCTGTTTGACCCCAGTGCTGGCTGAATGCATGTCACCAGCTTAAAACCCATCAACAGGACAAGAGACCCCCAGGAACCAGGCGCAGGGCCTGCCATTCCTAGCTGCTGCCTGGGTCCCTGGCCCCTCGATCTCCACAGCCCACGGCCCCTCCTGGGCTGGAGCTGGGGTGACATTTCACATGCTCCAGGGAGACTGGCTTGATGTAAGAGGCTCCTTTATCCAGTGTGGGACCCCCCTTTCTGGCCTCAGCTGGGCTGCGTCCCCCGGGCTCCTCTCCCATGCTCCGCCGGCTCTGAACAGCAGACCACACCCCGTGTACTCTGGTCTACACTCCTAGGCCCAGCCAACGGGGCCATGGGAAGGGGCTGGCTGTGGGTCCATCAGGGCCCGCCCGCCTCTCGCCTGGATGGCTTGCTGCACTGGGGAGCTCGGTGTGCACGAGGAACCCTTCCTGACGGCACAGCATGCCTGGCTGGGAAGAGCAACTGCGATGGCCCCAAGCCACAGGGGAGTGGCTGGCGCAAGAGAGGCTCAACAGAGGTTCTCCTGCCTTAGCCCATGGATGCCTGCATCCCCCCAGATGCCTGCACCCTCCATGGACGCCTGCGCCCCCCACGGATGCCCATATACCCCGGATGCCCACACCCCCCCAAGGACATCCACACCCCCGACACATGACCACATCCCACAAGGACGCCCACACGCTCCACAGATGCCCATAGCCAGGCCCTAGTGTGAGGCCCGGCGCACAAAGCTGACCCAGGCTCTTCCCACTCTACGGAGGCCATGCATCCGCATTGAGGCTGGAGGCTTCTAGAATGGCCACATCCACGTCCACGTCCCGGGGCTGGGGAGCTGCCATGCCAACAGGGAGCAGAGGCAGGGGCAGGGGGCAGAGGCAGGGGCAGGGGGCAGCAGCTGCAGCTGCTTTTCAGAAGAGGCTCAGGGGCCTCCAGTCCCCCCAGACAAAGAGTAGACAGGCCGGGCCCCTAGCTGCTGGGATGGCCTGGCCAGCTGAGGGGCACAGGTGCCATGGAGATGCTGCAACACTCCCATTTCCAGACAAAGCTCCTCATGCTGGGAGAGGCCAGCCTGTGTCAGAGGGAGTCCGTGCTCCTCTCCACCTGGCCTGGCTCCGAGGGCAGGTCTGGGTCTGTCCTTGCCCCTGCTCCCGGCCTGGGCCGCACAAAGCACTGAGCCAGCAAGGGCTTCGGTAGTCCCCGGCTCTCAACATGGTGCTCTGCAGGCCCGCCTCGGCCTCTTGGTCCTGGCCCTCATGCCCACTGAGGCAGCAGCAGCAGCATGGCCCCACCTCCCTTCCCAGGTGCTGTCCTGGGCCCGCTTCCTCCACGTCCACGGCTCACAGACCCACCCCTGCCTGGAGTCATGGCTTCCTGTGTCCACATGTGAGTTTGGGATGTGGGCCAGCATCAGCTAACATTTCTCACCTGAGGCTCGTGGGGGCCAGCCCTCACCCCCACAGGCACGTTGGCCCAGCTCTCCTCTGAGTCTTGGTGGCAACAAGTAGTGGGCATGGGGCTAACCACGTGGGAAGCAGCCTGCATGCCCGACCCCTTTGGGAGGCGCTGGGGCTGAGCAGGGGCTGAGGGGAAGCTGGCGGGATGTGGTGGGTGAGGGAGCTGGTGGGCAGGCAGAAGGAGACTGAGAAGGGAGGAGGGCATGGGTGCCCAGCCGCCTGCTGTCCTGCTCGCTTCCTGTCATCTGTAGCGGGGTCACCTAGCGCCAACCTCACCACAGGGGTGGGCGCTGCCTCGGAAGGGTAGTCCTGGCCTTGGTGAGTAGCTGAGTAGCTGTGGCTGGGAGTGGCTCGGTGGGCGCCTCCTCCCATCACTGACTACTCCTATGCGTGCGAAAGTCACTGCCGGAAACGAGGGAGCTCGTTTTCCAAATGATGCAAGCGCTCGGCTATACGATCTCACAGGAGACAGACGTGGCCGGGTATCTTGTCAGACACTGAATCTCTTTGAAAGCACAGCCAACCATGTCTACATTAAAACCACAAGCCATCTGACTGTTTTGAGTTTGCTCATTATCTGGCAAAGACCAAAAAAACAAAGAAAAAGTACACGATCTTGCATCCAAATGCTTGCATCTGGGAATGGAGTTACAGGCACAGAATTTTGGTGACAGCCCTGAGGAGGCCAGCAGCCTCCTCTGGTTTGGAGCCACAATCACCAACACCAGGCCACAAAACATTCCAGCCTGCTAACAGGGCCAGAAGCCCCATGAACAACCAGCCTTACTAATTGCCCGTTAGCCACAGGCTGGCAGACAGGCTTTTTGTGCCTGGGGCAGGGCGGCGAAGGCTCCAGGCGTCCTCTCGCCGCTGCTCCTGCATCCTGGTTGGGAGGACGCCCTCGCTGTGCCAAGTCATCTTCCTGCCACACTCTCCCGAGCTTCACCGGCGCCCACTCCCCAGAGGCCCAGGTCTCCCTGGACACAGCACTGTGCCAGCTGACATAGGCAGATGAGCTGTGTGACTTCCAGTGACATCTAGGACAGCAGCCAGCCTGTCTGAGGCCCACAGTCTGGTTCAGCTGAGCCTTCTGCGTGGCGTCTCAGCACATCAGAAAGGAAATGTGAAAGCCCTTGGATGCAGCTTAGCGGCTTGTGGGTTCCATTAAAAGAGGAAAGAAAAAATGGCACAGCGGTGCTGAAACACCTCATTAGGGTTATGTTCGCAAAACTCAAGATCGTCACTGGTTGTTACCGTGTCTGAAATACTTAGGTGGGGGATAATGAAGTTTCTGGGTTAGGATACTTGTCGGAAATTCAAAAATTGATTTGAAGTTGTGAGAAGGCAATGGGTGAGGTATCCTCACAGGAATGTGAACTGATTTTAAAGCACAAAGCTTTGCAGGAAAGAACAAGAAACAGAACGATCAAACTGCCTGTAAATAGAGCAAACCGCACTAGAATGGCTGCCTTTGGAGGGCAGGAATGGGGCAAAGCGATGCTGCAGAAACTTCAACAAGAAACCAGCAATAAGAAGGGCCTCAGGAGCCAACACGGGCTGTGAACCGGGGACTGGGGCCCATCGGGTAACCAGCCATGGCGGGAAAGAGAGCTCCCAGTGCCTTCTGCCCTTGACTATCTCCCCAGGGACACCACACATCCGACTGTCTGCTTTCCTTTCTGATCATGTGTCTTAAACCCTGTGTGAAACTCGCTCAGAAACCTAAGCAAGGTAGTGGAGCTAAGCCTGCCTCCATCGTCCCGCCGGTGGAGCCGGTCCTGCCTCCATCGTCCCGCCGGTGGAGCCGGTCCTGCCTCCATCGTCCCGCCGGTGGAGCCGGTCCTGCCTCCATCCTCCCGCCGGTGGAGCCGGTCCTGCCTCCATCCTCCCGCCGGTGGAGCCGGTCCTGCCTCCATCCTCCCGCCGGTGGAGCTGGTCCTGCCTCCATCGTCCTGCCGGTGGATCTGGTCCTGCCTCCATCCTCCCACTGATGCTCTGGCCTCAGTGCCTTGATGCACAGCCTCTGCCCACTCAGCTCCTGGACACAAGGCCACCTGCCCTCCCCACTGTCCACACCACCCTTGCCCTTGAAGCTCCCTTCCCCGGCCCCAGTGGGTGCTCCCTGCCTCTCCCAGGTTCTCCATGATCCGTGTGTCATCTGCTCCTCTAGCAACGCATGCCCCTTCTTAAGAGGTGGCTGCATCTGCTTCTCTGCAGGGCAGTCTCAGACTTCCTGGCCGCCACCATCTCACAGACCCTGCAGTCGAGGCTGGTCTCTATGACAAGACTCCCAATTTTCCTTGGCCCCGGTAGAGCAGGTCCTCTGGTGGCTTCTAAGAAAGAACAGCTGGAAGGGGGAAGCTCTGGACCTTGCCTGCCTGGAATGCCTCGGTGCCCCCTTCCTACTGACCTGGTAGTTTGGTGGGGCACAAGCCTCAGGAGGGCAATGATGCTCCCTTAGACGTGGCATGGCCTCGGGCCCCATGGAGCCCGCAGGTGCCCCGGCTCTCTCTAGCACCCCTGCTCTCGCCTCTGTCCCAGCATTCTGAGGTTCCGCTGGTGCACCTCAAGAGGGTCTTTCTTACCCCCAGTGGGTCTTTGCAGCCCGGAGACTCTGCCTTTTGTCTGGGGCCTTCTGAATTCCACAGGCGCCTCCTCTGGCCTCTGCCTTCCCTGGGAACTCCTGCTGCGTGGACCCTGCGTGCTGGAGTGAGCCCTGACCTCCTCCATCACCTCAGTTCCCAGCTTCCCGGCACTGCTGCGTTTTGCTCCGGTTTCTGGGAGAGCACATCATTCTGTCTTCCAGTCTGAGGATTTTCTCTTTCTGCGGTCGGGCATTTAATTTTTGTCTTCTCTAAACCTGCCGTGCTTTTCACGTGTCTATGGCACGTGTCCACGTTACGTGGACGCAGCGTCCTCTCTCTGAGGGCACCAATGGCGGCTGGGTTAGCGCCTTCCACTGTCTGCCCCCGCCGCCTTCCCTGTGTGGCTCCGTCTCCACTTCCCCATCAGGCGCGTTTTCCTCAGGCCTGGGTCCTCCTTGGCTGCTCACTCCTAAGGGGATGTGCCAACCGCCGGGTGGAAGCTCTGGGCACACAGGGGCTTAAGAACAGTGAGCACCAGTATGAGGGATCTCAGGAGCTATTTGTTGGGGACTGCTGATGTCAGCTTCTTTGGGGCTGGTCAATCCAGAGGGGTCTTCTGTCTTCTGCTGGGAGGGTAAAGGTCAGCATGCTGGCAGCCCAGTGGGGACGGGTGGGGGACTTGGCATCCATGCTCTCATCTAGAGCAGCTGTCCCCAGTCCAGGAAGCCCCTGTTGTGCCCTTTCCAGAGAAGCAGCAGGGGACGCAGCTGGTAGGGCCACGCAGTCGGGGCCAGGGGCCTCTCCACCAGCTTCGGCCCAGGCCCTCATCTGAGAGCCTCCCTGAGTCCATGGTCTCTGCAGTGGCTGACCGGAGCTGCCGCGGTCTGTGCGGTGGGTCGGTGGCTCCCGTTGCTGGCACTGGCTGAGAACCCACCTCAGGAACCTGCTCGGCTGCACCCCGCCCCCTACTTCCTCCAGCTGTGCACTCCTTTCCCGCTTTCCCCAAACTTCAGGCTTTTGTCCCTTTAGAAGCCCCTGAACCACAGGGCAGGGGGGACTCTGGAAGCAGCTTTACTGCCGCCCAGGCCAGAGCCCATGCGTGTCCTCATGGCCCCCCTGGCTCCATGGTCTGTGACCCTGTCGGCGCCTGCAGCCGGTACGGAAGATGCCCTTGGCGAACGGATGAAGACGTGAGTCAGTGACGAACGCAGGAAGAACTAGGCGCCAGGTCTCTGAGGCGGACTCTGCTGGGCACAGACCTGGCACGGAGGACACCTCCCGCAAGGCGCACGCCACCAAACAGTCAAGAAGCCCACCCTCCCCTCTCCCCTTACCCCTACAACCCTGAGTTCATAGTTCTCATCTCTCCCTGTCTGCCTTCCTGGGGTCCTGCTCAGGTAAGAGCTCTTTCCCATGGCAAAAGTATGGGATGTGCTCTTCCCATGGCAAAGGCACGGAAGATGGGAAAGAAAACCAGTGGGCAGTGACTGTCCTGGTTCAGGGTGGCTGGGAGGCAGGTAAGGAACTTACCAAGGAACAAAGAGAACCCTGGGGGCCCCCGTCCCCGGGTCTGTGTCCTGTGTCCTGGGACCTCCCATCCCCGGGTCTGTGCTCTGTGTGTCCCGGGACCTCCCATCCCCGGGTCTGTGCTGTGTGTCCCGGGACCTCCCATCCCCGGGTCTGTACTCTGTGTGTCCCGGGACCTCCCATCCCGGGGTCTGTGCTGTGTGTCCCGGGACCTCCCATCCCCGGGTCTGTGCTCTGTGTGTCCCGGGACCTCCCATCCCCGGGTCTGTGCTCTGTGTGTCCCGGGACCTCCCATCCCCGGGTCTGTGCTGTGTGTCCCGGGACCTCCCATCCCCGGGTCTGTGCTCTGTGTGTCCCGGGACCTCCCATCCCGGGGTCTGTGCTGTGTGTCCCGGGACCTCCCATCCCCGGGTCTGTGCTGTGTGTCCCGGGACCTCCCATCCCCAGGTCTGTGCTGTGTGTCCTGGGAGCCCTGAGAGCCCTGTGGAGCTGGCTGGGAGTTCACCTGCCTCTGCTCGAGATCCCTGTGTGAAGCCTCTCACCAGCTCCCTAGGCAGAGGATGCCTGTTAGAAAGTTCTCTCCTTGAGGCCAAAACTCCTCTCTATCACCCCTGCAAGGTGCTTCCAGTCAGAGCCTTTCACCCCTAGCAGTGGACACCCCGAGGCCTCCTCTTGGTCTTGTCCTGATAGGCCTGAAAGTGGAACTCAAAACACAGCTGCAGGCTCCAGCAGGGCAGGGGCGGGCAGTGTGTTGGGGTATCTATCCCTCATTAGCCGCTTGAGCGAACCCTGATTTGACTCAAGATTCTTCTAAACCAGGAGCTCTCTGCCCAGTTTCTACACAAACACACGTGCTACCTGGCACATGCGTCACCAGTGGCTTGTGAACGGAGGGTTAAGTGTTCCCTTCCAGACCCTTTACCTTATAACCTGGCAGGTGACACCCACAGGCGCCCCAGACAGAGGGGTCGAGCTGGACACACAACCTCGGGGGCTGCAAACCCAATACGGGAGGAAAGGAAGGGCCTCCAATACCTAGAAGTTTCTTACTGTCCAGTTTCTGCCGGTTGAGGGGGTTCGTGCCGTACAGGAGGGTGTGGGCTTCCGAGTGCACGGTCTGCAGCTCCTCCAGGGTGGCCTTGCGTCCACGGATGCACTGTGGGGACAGGTGAGAGGACGCTCACACGTTCTGTGGAAGCTGCTTCCGCTTCCGGACAGAAACTCCCAGGAAACCATCGCCCAAAAGGAAACATGATTTGAAACACAAACAAGCACGTTATCTGGTTATCACAGAGTCACCCAACGCGGTATTTTTAAATATTTAAGAAATATTTTAGAGGGCTTACACTTAATTACAGCTTTGAAAAAACATTTTAAAAGATAATTCCAGCCTTCAACGCATTACCCTTCACTGTCGCGCAAATGATTTGGCATCAAATTATTACTTTGCTTTCCAACTGCCAGGGTCTGGTCTTAAAATAGAGGTGAGCTGCCAAAGGCGGTGTGAGCTGCCACGCTTCCCCACACTCAGGGGAACCCCAGCCCAGCTCCCGGAGTCTCTCGGACCGCCCCAGGGCCACCAGCCGCCAGGCTCTGGCACCTGCCCTGATGGCTAGCTGGCGTCCGGCTGCGTTTCTCTGTGGTTTGGGAATTCCTCAGATTGAGAAACCTGGGCTAATTCGGATTTTCTTCAGAAACTCACAAGAAAGTTTCTGTTTTTCAGTTGAGCTACATTTGTTTAATCTTTTAAATGGATGACGGCCTCGGACAGGAGATTTGACTTCACATTTCCCACGGAAATGGCTGTCAGAGGGCTAGGCCGCCACAGGGTGAGTCACATGCCAGCCAGGCAGCCCCGGTGGTGACTGTCACCTGCTCCCCCCAGGCAGGAGCAGGATCTACTCTCTCCCTCCTGACTGCAGCCCGGCCCCAGCATCCACGGACCTCCCACAGGCCTCGGTGTCCACCCCGTGTGTGAGACCTGTGTTGGGCGAAGCTCTGGGCTCTGCGTCAGCCCAGCACCTGGGGCTGCTCTCAGGCCACCGGAGCCCTAGCACACGGCCTTCCTGCAGGACGCACTGTAGCTGTGGGTCCTGTCCATGCAGGGCGCAGAAGGAAGGGGTGGAGCCAGGAGAGCTCAGCCCCTGCCCACAGGGGTGGGGACCCCAGAGGGCAGGTGCCCCAGGCAGGGGAGGTATGCTCTGGGAGGGGGTCCCTTTCCACAGGACCGGGCTTTCTCGATAAAGGTCCCTGGTTTAAAAAGGAAAGATGTGATGCCACCTTCCCACAGTAGAAACAGCTCCATGGTCCCATGCACCTAAGCCTAGTGCTGCTTCCACTTTGGGGACATAAGCCAAGTGTCCCTGGGAAGCCAGGCGGGAGGGACGTACTCCCTAGCTAGGGGTCAGCTGGGGCCCTGGGCAGCTGCTGGGGGTTCTGATTTCTTTTTTTTTTTTTTTTTTTGTTTTTTTGAGATGGAGTTTCACAGGGTTTTACTCTTGTTGCTCAGGCTGGAGTGCAATGGCGCTATCTCGGCTCACTGCAACCTCTACCTCCCGGTTCAAGGTATTCTTCTGCCTCAGCCTCCCAAGTAGCTGGGATTACAGGCGACCCATACCATGCCTGGGTAATTTTTGTATTTTTAGCAGACATGGAGTTTTGCCATGTTGATCAGGCTGGTCTTGAACTCCTGACCTCAGGTGATCTGCCCGCCTCGGCCTTCCAAAGTGCTGGGACTACAGGCATGAGCCACCACACCCAGCCGGGGCTTCTCATTTCTAATGATTTCTGGAAGCCCCGCTGTGTGTACAGCCACAGGCAGCTGTGGCCAGGGCCAAGTTCCATCTGGACAGATGGCCTGGGCAGCCCACGCTCGGGAAGGCCCCTGTGGGGGACCCCTGGTTGTGCTCTAGAGTGCCAAGAGGCAGCATGCAGCGTGGACTTCAGGTGAAAGAATGGCAGGGCCCCGGCAGCCATGTGTCCTCCACACTCAAAAGTTACCCATTAGATAAGAGCTGGAATTGCAGCAAGAGAGACTTGACGTTAGACCACAGATTCAAGTCACAAATTAAAGTCAATATTAGAATAAGGCAAAGAAGAGAAATAGAAAATCCCCCTCCTTACAAACACATGAAACGGAGACAGAAAAGACACAGGACCGAACCACCAAAAGCTCTGTGACACTGTGATGGCTCAGACGGCACACAGGCACTTCAGACTCTTCCAGAGCGCCTGGAGGATGGTGACCCCTTCCTGCTTTGTTGGAAGGCTGACCTCATTTCTGTCACCCTTCAATTCCTAGCGTAAGACATTAGGAGTCTGCTCCTTACAGCAAACACATGTTTGGGGCAGGGTGACCCCCCCCGTCCTGGCCCTGATCTCTGCGGAATCTGACCTGCAGCCCACCCCCTTCTCTCCTTCCTGGATGCCATGCCTGGAGGCAGGAGAAACCCAGCTGGGCACGCGATTTGGCCAGGAGCTGCTCTGGCCACCAGGAAGCCTCTGCAGAGGGCGGGGCCCATACAAGCACATGGCTGTTCTCAGAGGACCTGCACCTGCTCAGAATGAGTGAGGCAGCTTCCCAAGGCCTGCCCGGTAGCTCTGGAGTGAGGCAGGGAGCAAGGCAGCTGGACCCGGGGCCACCTCTCACTGGCCCAGCCTGCCAGCACCGACAGGGTCCCAAGCTTGCAGAAAAGATCTCCTATCTCACTCCCGTCCTTCCTCACCACACAAAGCCAACAGAGCAGCGCGAGGGCGCTCCAACCCATCGTCCACGCAGAGGGAGGCTGCTGACTGCGAGGTCCCGCCCTTAGGCCTGGGCTTCAGTCTTGTTGTGGCCTCTATGTGGTCTGCAGACTCAGGAAGTCACAGCCCTGTCCACCCCATCTTCTCCTATCAGGTACTCACTCTAACAATCTGTGACCCCTAACCACAGCCCCTCTGCTCAGCCATCTCAGGAGGCCAGTGACCCCTGGCAGGCCTGCATGTAGGGTGACCTTGCGCCCTCCGGGCTGAGTGAGCACATTGCTCGCTCTGAGCCTGGAGGCTACCTGCAGTGCAGAACTACCCCACCTGTGGGAACAAGGGACTACTGTCCAGGGGGTGTGGCCTCCGTGGCTGTCTCCCAGCCACCTGTCTCCCCCAGCTCTTCTTCCCCTCGGATCCTGCCAGTCTCAGGGCTTGTCCCACAGCCCCGACCCCTGGGGACCCTCTGCTAGCCCTTGGTCCAGTTGTGGCTGGCACCACCACCCACAGCCTCTCCTGCCTCCACCCAAGGTGCCAAGGGCAGGCGGATGAGTGGGCTGTTTCTCCCGGGCTCTTTTCTCACGACTCCCTTGCTTGCTTTTGCTTTTCTGGCTGACAGACCCTCTCTCAACGCCCTGGCCTCAGTGGACGCCCCTGGGGGTGGAGGCACATGTAGGGGAGGAAAAGGAAGCAGGTGGTGGAGCTGTGGGGGCCTCAGGAAGCCTTGGGCAGCCCCTGGAAGGGGGAGCAGGACGGCTGCTGGTCCTGTGGAGGGAACGGAGGTGGGGAAGGAGGGCTTTCCCACAGCCAGTGTCCGCTGTGCAATGCTGCCCTCCAGTGGCACAGCCATTCCGACTGGCTTCCTGAAGCAGGTGCCAAGAGCCTGCGCAGCGGCCCCCCCCCACCCAGAGGGCGCTGCAGGGGAAGGTCCTGGGCTCGGCTTGGAACCCTCCCTGCTGAAGCTCACGTATCACCAATAAAACTGGCAAAGGAAATGAGAGTTAAGATGAGCCATGGATTGACTCAAGCTCCCAAATACGCCAGTTTCTAATGGAGGGACAGGCAGACCTGCAGAGTGGAACCCTACGGAAACTGTGCCCCTGCAGCAAAGCTGCCACGCCGGCTCTCCAGCTCAGTCATCTCTGCCATGGCCACTTGGGCCCTGAGCTGTTGGAGAGGTGGTTCCTGCCCACTCTGGGAGCTCTCTGCAGCGTGGCCGGATGCCTGGTGTGGGGAGGGGTCCTGGCGTGGGTGGGGCATTGTGAGACCCTGCGAGTGTGGCCCGCCCCTCTCTACAGACAAGGAAACGGAAATTTCTCCAAGGCCACCAGCTTCCAGATGGAAGTCCCTTCTCTTCCTGCCTCACTATCCGCAGGGCCTGGCCACACCCTCCTCCCCCTGGGAAGCGCAAGATCCCTTGTGACAACGGCCTGACCCAAGTGAGGCTCCTGTCCCAGCCTCAAGCGTTACTTGGCCGATCCTTTCCGCCTCCTGGGGCCTGGGAGTCCACCGCAGCCAGGTGCGGGCAAGGCTCCGGTTCCTATCAGCAGGTGGGGCTTGGCCCTCCTTGTATGAGAACAAGCGCGGCCGCCGGCTGGCAGCCAGGGAAACCGAGGGCCAGCCAGAGCTGCTGCACCCGAGACCTCCTCTCGGGACTGAGCCGCGTAAGGGAGCTGAATGGATACCAGGCCAGGGCCTGCCTGCAGCTCTGCCCCACCACCACCCACTGCCTTGCCGGCACCTTAACTCTGAGGATGGTCCCAAGGGCCTGAGGTCTCCCTATGTTCTCAAAGAGATTTTAAAAAAAGAGAATTTAACAAAAGCCAGCAGGCCTGATCTGAGATGTAATCAGATCTTCCCACGGTCCCTTCCTGGCAGCCCAGGAGGAGCGTGACAGGAACTGGCTTCCTCGGGGAAGTGACCCGGAGGCAGACAGCCACAGCCCTGGACCTCGGGAAGAGGCTGCTAGGTGGGAGGTGGGAGGGAAACGTCAGAAAAGGGCACGGACAGAGGCAGCAGCTTCCTGCAGGGACGGCACAGGACTCTGGAGAGACGGCCCTGGGCCTCCCAGCAGCCGCCTGGCTGCCCAAGCTGCGGACAGTGAAGATGCTCACGGCCCTTCCCTCAGGTCTGTATAGCACAAAACACCACCTGCACAGCCGACGCCCTGAATCAAGCGGGACCCCGTGGGTCCCCTCTAGTGGTGTCCAAAGCCGCAGCTGCCCAGCCGCCCCGCCGGCATTACCTCGCATTTGCCGCGGAGGCCAGTCTCCTGCAGGCGGGACCAGATGCTCTGGATCCTCCCGGCGTGCTCGGGGTGGCTGCTACTGCTCCCGCAGGTGCACTGGTGCTTCAGCATCAGCGTGTCATACACGAGGCCTGGGGCAGAGCAGAGGGGCCCAGATCAGAGCACGCCCAGGGGCAGGTGGCCACTCGCCGGCAGGCTGCCCCTGGGTGGCGGCAGAACCACCGCTTCCCTAGAAGGAGACTTCCCTAGAAGGCTGGGACGGTCCTTGAGAAAAATACCCACGTTTGCCAAGGCCCCTCGACTGGCCAGGCCCGGAGGACATGGACGAACGCAGAGGCCAGCTGGGCAGGAGAGCCTGCCTGTCACCCACGCTCACAGTAGCGCCCAGGGCCCAGGCAGGGACACGCACAGCCACCTGCTGCAGCAGGTTGAGGAGAGAATGGTGAAGAGACGGCCCCTGGATGGCTGGACCTTGCAGGGTGTGAGTTCCACATGGGACTCATGCTGGGGAGGCCGGTGCTGACTTCTAGAAGGAGGCGACTCTAGAGCCCTATCCTCAAAGTCTACCTGGTCCCAGACCAACCTCTAATTCCAGTTCTGCTAGACCGAGAACTGTCCAAGGTACTTGAGATTCCAAAGAAACACCAGACTTGCACCCTGCCTTTAGAAACTTCCAGAGCGACCGGACATGTGTGCTCGAGAGCACACCAAAACACACATCCACAGGTCTACTTAATATCTGACTGTGAACAGAGGTGAGCCGTGTGCTCACCACAGCACGGACTGGCCCCCAGGGCACAGCAGTCACAGAAGAGGCCCCTGGCGGGGGCCCCAGAACCAACTGGGCTGGCGGCCTGGGGCACTGCAGGGGGAAGGGTGACAGACCTGAACCCATGTGGGATGCCACCATCTTCCAGTCAGCACACATGGGACCACGGTGAAGGGGGTGTGCCTGGCCTGTCTGCAGAGGCTAGAGATGGGAGGCAAGGGCAGGCGACCCTCCAGGGCACAGGTCTTCCACAGCAGGCCTCAGCCCTGGTGACATCTGGCAGGAGGGCTGCCCCGAGGGCCTGCTGGGATATGTCTGGTCTTCCAGAACTTAACAAAAGGAAGTCCAGGCTGGGTAAACAGATGCCTTCAGCAGGCAGACCACTTGCCAGGGGCACCTGGGCTAATGTGGGCTCATCCAGGCTGAGAAGGGCAGGGTGCACGGTGCAGAGCCTGGGCAGGCTGCCCAGACAGACCCGCTCAAGCCCTTCAGCTTGCTGACCCAGGATGCCACCCTCCCCACCTGTGTTCCTGGTACTGGAAACAGAGGCGGCAACTGCAGCCAAAGGACCTGAGATTTAACGTGGCCCAGTGCTTGCAGGGCTGTTAGAGGGTACACTTGGTGCGTATTAGTTTCCATACTTCCTAAGTCAGTCTCTTGTGAGTCAGGCTAACAGGAGTCAGTCCCCTGCAATTGAATTCTGTGGGCACTTGCAAAACAGTGCTACTGGGATGGAACTTCTTGTAAAAATGCATCAGGGTAGGTGCAGGCTTACAGGACTCAACGAATACAGGACTCACAATCTGTACTCCGTGTGTGGGCCCGGGTGAGTGCGGGAATCTGTAATGGCAACATACACACACAGGCAATGACAGACACTGCCCCGTGAAACACAGACGTGTGTGCCCCCATGAAATAGATGTGTGTGTCCCATGAAACACAGACGTGTGTGCCCCCATGAAATAGATGTGTGTCCCGTCAAACACAGATGTGTGTGCCCCCATGAAATAGATGTGTGTCCCGTGAAACACAGACGTGTGTGCCCCCATGAAATAGATGTGTCCCGTGAAACAGACGTGTGTGCCCCCATGAAATAGATGTGTGTCCCGTGAAAGATGTGTGTGCCCCCATGAAATAGATGTGTGTGTCCCATGAAACACAGACGTGTGTGCCCCCATGAAATAGATGTGTGTCCCGTGAAACACAGACGTGTGCCCCCATGAAATAGATGTGTGTCCCGTGAAAGACGTGTGTGCCCCCATGAAATAGATGTGTCCCGTGAAACATACATGTGTGCCCCCATGAAATAGATGTGTCCCGTGAAACATACGTGTGCCCCCATGAAACAGATTGTGTGTGTGTCCCGTGAAAGACGTGTGTGCCCCCATGAAATAGATGTGTGTCCCGTGAAACAGACATGTGTGCCCCCGTGAAAGATGTATGTCCCGTGAAACAGATGTGTGTGCCCCCATGAAATAGATGTGTGTGTCCCGTGAAACAGATGTGTGCCACATGAAATAGATGTGTCCTGTGAAACAGACGTGTGCCCCCATGAAATAGATGTGTGTCCCATGAAACACAGACGTGTGCCCCCACGAAATAGATGTGTCCCGTGAAACAGACGTGTGTGCCCCCATGAAATAGATGTGTGTCCTGTGAAACACAGACGTGTGCCCCCATGAAATAGATGTGTGTCCCGTGAAGCACAGATGTGTGCCCCCACGAAATAGATGTGTCCCGTGAAACAGACRTGTGTGCCCCCATGAAATAGATGTGTGTCTCGTGAAACACAGATGTGTGTGCCCCCATTAAATAGATGTGTCCCGTGAAAGACGTGTGCCACATGAAATAGATGTGCATGTCCTGTGAAACAGATGTGTGTGCCACATGAAATAGATGTGTCCCGTGAAACAGACGTGTGTACGCCCGTGAAATAGATGTGCGTCCCGTGAAACACAGACGTGTGCCCCCATGAAACAGATGTGTGTGTGTCCCGTGAAACACAGACGTGTGTGCCCCCATGAAATAGATGTGTGTGTCTCGTGAAACACAGGTGTGTGCCCCCATGAAATAGATGTGCGTGTCCCGTGAAACAGACATGTGTGCCCCCATGAAATAGATATGTCTCGTGAAACACAGATGTGTGTGCCCCCATGAAATAGATGTGTCCCATGAAACACAGACGTGTGCCCCCATGAAATAGATGTGTGTGTCCTGTGAAACACAGATGTGTGTGCCCCGCTGAAACAGACTTGTGTGTGTGCATAAACAACCAGGTGCTCACGCGTATGAGGAATGGGGACTGCCCTTCAGTGGAATCATCACGACAAGGTCACGTGTGCTGACATTTACTGAGCACACGGCTGGACCCTATGAGGCAGACACCCCCTTTACTGTCTCTACAGACAGAGAAGGTGGAGTGCAGAGAGATGGAGAAGCAGCAAGGTCCACGCAGCTCAGGGTGGCTAAGGAACCCGCCGTGTCGCTGTGCACGGACAGAGGAAGACGGCTGAGAGGTTGAGGAACCCATGGGAAGCCTCAGACACAACAGAGCCCGTGCCTGTGAAATAAATGATGTTTCCGTCTATCCGTCCATCTGGCCACGCACAGACGTGGATCCGGAAGATTAAACCAAACACGACCTGCCGCCACTGGGAGTGGGATTACGGGCAGGCGGTATTTTCTGTGCGTCTCCATCACATTTGTTTTCCAGTGTTCATTTTACAATGAACGTGCACTGTTTTATATATTCTTTAAAAGTAATAAAGACAAACTAAGAAAGGACACCAGCTAAGTGGGACTGTCTTGAAGTGTCCTGCGACCAACCACGGTGGGCGCGTCGTGGGAGAATTCCCACCTTGGTGGCAGTGGCAGGGGTCCCCTTGCCTGAGCTGTGTTTGTTCAAAAGCACATTTACTGCTGGCAGCTGCCCAGGACTTGTGGAGAGGGTCCCCGGCTGCTCCTGTGACTTCCACGGTTTTCTTTCTTTCCTTGCTGGATAATAACTACTACGGAAATATTTCTCTGAATATGAATAGCATCCTTCCATGACCTGAAGTGAGAACCTTGTGGAGTGCAGAAACTAAGCCACTGGATGAGAATGATCTGAAGAAGGAAGCCATGCTGTGTTTATAGAACTTTTCTTAGTACATCGTTAACAAAAGCTATTAGATCAAAACAACATGAAGGGCTCCCCTTCCTCCCTGCTTGTCTCAGAGGCAAGCCCTGCCGGAAGCCAGCCTCCTTCCCTCCTATGCCCTGCAGGGGTGGCTGGGTGGCGGGGCACCCAGGATGGCAGCCTCCTCCCTTGCTCCAGGCAGCTCTGGGCAGACGCGTCCAGGGCCCAGCCCCTCCTGCCTCCTCGGCCGTGCTGGACACCTCACTGCCTCCTGACTTCTGGTGAGGTACCATGCAGGGAAAACCAGAGACCCTGGCTGGCAGATGGCCTCCCCAGGGAGAGGATGGTATGAGGAGGGCACAGACACAGAGGGCATGTGCCTCCCACAGTGTTTCTGCTCTGGAGTAATCATGGACCCCCTGGCCCCTCACGGCCCTAAGTCCCTGGAGCGTCAGAGCCAACGCTGTGGACGTGGCGGTGTGAGAGTGTAAGTGCAGAGGCGCAGGCTCCAGATTCCTACCACGCTGGACCAGAAGCTGCAGGTCCTCACAGCCCCATGGGCATGGGCTAGGGACTGTTCTTGGAGACCACGGGTCTCTGGGACAGGGAAGGTGGGCAAGTGAGCTCGTGACAGGCCCACAGAGTAACAGAACTGAGTGTGTGGTGGGCAGGGCCTCTGGGACTGGCCTGCGTGGTCCCCGCCACCCAGTGTGGCCCCTGGGCCCCGTGGCAGTGCCCGCCCAGCCCCTCAGACTCCGCAGAGCTGGGCCAGGGGCAGCCCCCCAGGCTGCGCCCACGGTGGCCTGCATCGTAGCCTCAGGCTGCGCGAAGGCCACCTGTTACCTGTCGTGAACCTCGGCTTTGCGGGGGACTCCTGCGCAGACACGGGGAAGGTGGCGGATGCCGGTGAGGACTGTGCCCGGGACAGAGGCCGGTGCCCGCCGAAGGACACAGGGATGCCGGCGGCCTCCATGGATGCCTGGTAGTTCCTCAGCTGGTGGATCCGCTGCTGCTCCAGCAGGAGAGCTTGCTGCGGGGAGAAACGGCCGTGTTGGCGGCTGCAGGGCTAGCGGCACCCTTCTCTCGCATCTCCCATCCACGGACAGGCTGTACACGGGCCACGAGGATGCTGCGAGGCCGGCTGTGTAGACTGGCCTTCCCTGTGAGTGCCCTGAAGCCTGACTGGGCCCAGAGCCGAGAACACGGCCAGCACGGGCTCTGCCTCCCAGCACGTGGCTCCCCCTAGGGAAAGCGGGCCGTCCACGTGGGATCTGCCACAGGCTTCATTAACAGCGTAACACGGCTGAGCCAGGGGGGTCCAGGGGGCCTGGCTCGGTTTGGGGTATCAAGGAGGGCTTCTCTGAGGAGGTGCTGAGCCAGAAGCAGCCTGGACCAGGTGCAGGGGAGCAGGGCCCAGCAGCAAGGGCACGGAGGGTGTGGAGAGGCTCTTGCGGGGCGGCAGGCTGGCCCGCGCTGGCTTCGCCGGGGGAACCGTGAAGGCCATGCAGATGTGGGGACCGGAGCACCCACTCTGCTACACCACACACATACAGCAAATGGGCACGAAGCCCCTCCTCTTGTTGGGTTTGTGGGTATTTTTGACCAAGGACACTGAATCTGCATGCCAAACTCGGGTAAGAAAGCACACCACAGACTCAGATGTGGAAGAGCTAACTCGGCCTCATCTGCAGCCGCTCCCCTCCCTGGTCTCACATCCCACACACGGCATGCAGGCGAAAAGCAGAAATAGCCCATCAGCTTCCAGGCGCCCAGGGCCTTTGGGGCCAGGAGCAGGCCTGCTGGTGGGATGCGCCTCTCTGGAGAGGTGGAATGGGGCTGGGGCGCCGTGTGTGTGTGTGTGTGTGTGTGTGTGTGTGCGTGCGTGTGTGTGTGCGTGTGTGCGCGCGCGCGCGCATGCAGTGGGAAACACTCAGCCAGAGGCGTGGGACACCCCAAGGGATGCTGGGGACAGGCTGAGGTGCATATCCCCATATGAGGCAGAGTGGAGAGGAGGGAGCGAGGCAGAGATATGGTCACAGCTGCCCAGCCTCTCCCCAGGCAGCAGCTGAGGGAGGGCACAGCCAGCCACCTGCCACCCAGGCCAAGGCACAAAGCAAGCCAGCGCCTCCTTGGTTTTGATGAACAAATCCTGTGAATGTGGAAAACCAAGCACCCACATGCCAGCTCCTGTGTGAGAGGCAGAGCCCAGCCCTGTGCCACCAGCATTGGGGGAAGCCAGAGCTGCCCAGCCAGGCTCCGATCTGTCCTGCCTTTAGGAATCAGAGCCAGGAGCAGGGCACAGGGCAGCCCTAAGACAGCACGAGGAACTGGAGCTGGAGCCGGCACCCACAGGCCCCCAGGATTCCGCTAACCCAGTTCAGCTGGGATTACTGCAGGCTCCAAGCAGCTAATAAACGATTCTCCCGGCAGGCTGACTGGAAGACGCCCCATCTTCCCTGAATATGGCAAGCTGCTCCATGCGCTACCACATTTCCCTGATAAGGAGTTCTGCCTATTACTCTCCGGAGAGAACAGAAAATGAGTGTTTCTAATAATCGTCTCATGCTTGGAATATAACAAACCTCTTTTTTCAAAGTAAATGCTGATCTATGAGAAGCGAGCCCTAAAAATTATTAATGTAAATAGTTTCCAGTTTCTTCACAGCATAATAACAGCACACCGAATCTCAGTCCCAGTGACAGACTTGCTTCCTTCATCACGGCCCGACCACAGGAAGAAGCGCCACGCTGGGCCGTCAAACAGGACCTGTGGACAAGCGTCCACCGGGAGGCGCCATGTGTGTCAGAGAGGCCGGGCTCTCTGTCTTCACCAAGCGTTAGTTCTGCTGGGCTTTGTCGTGTTTAGTGCCTGGGGTGCTAATGAAGAAGCCCCCGAAATTAGAGCAGCCACCCCCTGAATGAGAAGGAGAGATAGCACCCAATGCCAGCCTCTGGGAAGCTGGGTAGAGACAGGTTCCTGACCCGGAAGCTTCTGGAGACCACTGTGAGCTGACCTCGCATGTGGTGGACTCCAGTCTAGGTGCTGCAGGTTCAAGGACCCACACAGATTCATTCAGTGGCAAGCATTTAAGAAGTGTAGCTGAAAATTCAAGGAAACGGTTTACTGCCAGGAGCCCTGTTCCTGGCTTCCAAGATGCTGCCGGGGGTGGAGGCAGCGTCAGGCCACACAGCTGGCAGGCAGGAAGCAGGGGAGGTACTCAGTGGCACGGCCATCGTGGAGTCCAGCGAGAAGGGAAGGAAAAGCCAGTGGCTCCTGCAGCCGAAGCCACAGCTCCGCCGCTGGAGGACACATCAAACCTACAGCTGCGGCTCCCCAGGCTCACTTCCCGCCCAGAGGGGAAGCCACCTTCCTGAGGACGCACTGGCTGCAGGTACAGTACTCTGCAGGCTGCCCAAATGCCCTAGGTATTTCTGTTGAGTTGGAAGTTTTATGTTTCCCTGGAAATTAACCAGTCAATCACTGGCCTTCTTCATCAGTCTCCTGTGAGTTTGGTTCCTCGGTATCAGTGCCCTGAAGCCTTCCTGGCTCTGGCTACCACAACTGTACCCGTCTGTCTGGATCTGCAGGGCTGCTTGTTAGCACTTCTGCACCACAAAAGGTCTTGGCTTCTGATCAGACCCTGCCTGCCTTTCTGATCAATTAATACATCTATTTCCTTCACTTCCTTAAAAAGCATGCCCTGTCTCTTAACACATGGATTCTGTGTTCATTTATACCCTACAGACAGGAAGGAAACCCATTCTGTGGGGCCTGTGCATGGCTAGAAAGCAGTGATGTCACCGCCCACAGTGGGCAAACGTCTTGTATCCGCAGGAACTGCTGGGACCAAACAGAAGCCACATCAACCTCCCTCAGTGGCCAGGACAAGACAGGCGAGGCACTGGACAGCAACAGTGGAAGGACCCCGCATCCCCCGTGTCACCACACAGAAAGATGCCGCCCAGGGACCGTGCGCTCCCCGCCTGCGGTCACCTGTCTGAAGAGCAGCTCCTGCTCACTGGGCTGGCGCTGGCCTGGCTCCACCTCCTGCGGGGGCTCTGCCTCTTCGTCGTCGCTCTCGATGGGCTCCTGCTTCACCTGCACGCCGCCTGGTGCATGCGCCTCCTTCCCTGGCAGCCGGTCCAGGTAGGGCTCGTCCAGCAGAGCCTGGTGCTCACGGAGTTCCTCCTCCGTCTCCTCGGGGTGGCTCTCCGGCTGCCGGGCTGGCTCGCTTGGCTTGGGGATTATCTGCAAGGCAGAGGTAACACATGAAGCACAGAGAGCCGGGGACTCTGAGCTCATGATAGGAGAAGGTGTGCTGCAAACCCCACCCTTGGGGCAGACAACGAAGAACTCGGGGTACCTCAGTGCCCTGCCCCAGGCCAGCAGGTGCCTTCATCTCCCCACACAGCACACACTTGGGTGCTATCCATGGTGTTGAGAAAATCATGCCTAGCAGGACCCCAGCCCGGGGTCAAGCTGACCTGGCTTGGGGAAGGTCTCTGGGCATTTGGGGTTTACTAAGCACCTCTTCTGTGTCAGGCACAGAGACACAGAAAAGCAGTTGCACTCAAATGAGTTTGCAGAGGGGAGCCTGAGTGTGAAGAGGGAGAAGCCAGTGCTGACCTCACAGCCACGGCTGCTAAGAGAAACAGCTCACCACCCAGCAGACGACTTCACGTCCACAATGCTCATCACCCAATCCCACTGACACGCCCCCTCTCCTGCAGGGCCCCGCCATGCGCCAGGACCTCCCTTCTTGTGTGATCCCACTGATGTGCCATGAGCTCCCCTCCTGCAGGATCCTGGGGATGCTCCATGACCTCCTCCCTTGCTGAATCCTGGGGACTCCATGACCTCCCCTCCTGCAGGATTGCACGGGTGCTCCATGACCTGCCCCGCTATGGGGCCCTAGGGACCTCGGCATCCTCCCTCCTGTGGACTCCCGACACGCTCCCGGATCTCTTTTCCTGTTGGATCCCACAGTTGCTTCTCGGTCTCCCTCCCTGCCCTCTCAAGCAGGGAACAAGGGTGGGTGCTCGTTTCCTGCTCCTCAGTTCATTTCCCCATTCTGGATTCCAAGTATCAGTGACTCCCAAAGGTGGTGCTGGGCCACACTCGCTCTTCACCTCCAGACCTCATGGCCGGCCAGACACCCCAGCTCAGCCCAGAGTGCCCAAGGGCCTCAGCACAGTGGGCCCAACCCGAACTCCAGGCAGCTTCTTCCAAGCCTCTCCCTCCTGTAGGACCCGTTCTTGGCAACTGAATCTCTCTGGCCACCTGTTGAGTCACACTACGAGCTGCCACGCCCATCTGCTAGGCGCTGCCTGTGCACTGCTCACAAGAAACGCCCCTGGACGGTGCTGCTTCCCTTCAGCCTCGACCTCCTGCCTTTCCTGCTTTGGCCCCGCCTGGCCTCTCCTGCCTGGATGATAGCATGGCCCTCAGGAGGCACCCCCTTCCAGCATGAACCGTCTTCTGCAGCTGGCAGTGAGGGCGTGCTTTCAAATAAGCTAGCTAGACCTGGTCATTTCCCTGCTGAAAGTCTCCCATGCGCTCTTCCACCATTCTGCCTCTGCTGAAGAGCCCCTCCATCATCTGGCCGTATTGCCCTGCAGCCTCCCTCCCTCCCTGCCACCCTGTTCCCCACCGTGCTGCTGGCTCTGCACCCCTCATGCCATGCTCGCCTCCAGCCTGCTGCTTCCCTTCCTCCTCCAGCCACTGCGAGAGGCTCCATGGGCCTCAAGTGCATGCCACCTTTTACAGGAAGGGCAGCTGACCTTCCTGATGGGGCACCGTGCCCTCCTCCAGCCCCCGTCACAGTCCTCTGGTTTTCCTGTGGTTGCCATTCATGCAGCCATCTTTCTACAGTCTGCAGTTCCCATGAGGGCAGGGACCACTTCGGACTCATCCATGGGGCACAGTAATTACTCATCACACATTCGCTAAAAGGATGGACAAATCCAAGGGGTGTGCAGGTAGTGGGGCAAGGTGGAAGGGGGTGCAAGGCTGACATCAGGGCTCTCTGGGAGCTGTGAGGAGCTGGCAGGGTTGCGGCGTGCAAGGCCAGAGAGCAGGGACGCAGGGTGCCGGAGATGAGGTGGGGCCGGGGACAAGCAGGTACACGTTCTGGACACATGTCCTGCTTCGGGGAGACCAGCCAGAGGGTGAAAGGGTGAGGCAGGCCCCACGTCTGGCTGTGGCATGGGAGAAAGGACAGGTTTCCGTGTTCTGTGACACCAAAAAGGAAGCAGCTCTAGGCTCCGGGACAGAGTGTACATGCAGAGGGAACAGAGGGTGGCCAGGACAGCTCCTCAGCTTTGGGCAATGGGGCTGTCCCATCTTGTCTGGGAGCTGGAAGAGGGATGGATGTGACAGAGCAAAGGCCGGAGCTGAGAGTGTAAGGGGAGAGAGGGATGTGGTAAATGGCAAAGAAAGCTCAGGAGAGGCGGCGGGGTCTGGAGTCAGACTAGGAAGGGCGCACGGGGAGTTTCTCAGAAGAAAGCAGAAACTGAACTGCGTTCCTCTGCAGACTGTGAAAGAACGCTCCCACAATCCCAAAGCCCCATATCAAGGGTCTGAGGATGCACAGTTCACCCATCCCCATGTGGAACGGGCCTAAGGGCTTTTCTCCTCAGTGGACCGGCAGGAGAGGCTGCTGGTTTCTCCGAGGGGTGCATGGTCCTGCCTGTGCCACCGGGAGGTGCTAACGAGTCAGTGCGAGGGCAGGGCGATGCCCGGAGAGAAGCAATCCCACACGGGCAGCAGGGCCCGGCAGAGGCTCAGCCGAGTGGCAGTGGAGGCTGCCCATGGATGGCAGAGCGAGCAGGAGACACCAGGACTCCCAGCCAAGCGCCAGAGAAGGGCTATCACAGAGGAGGTGCTGGCCTCGGGACGGGGAGGTTGGTGGGGGCGGCTCAGAGAAGCTGCATCCCAGCATCAGGGAAATCCAGCAAGAAGGTGCAGATTCGAGTCTGGGGTTTGGAGACAAATCAGGACTGGGGCAGTAAGCAGATGGGGCAAAGTCAAAGCTGGGAGCACAGAGGCACCATGCGGAGCTGGGGAGCCAAATGCAGCAGGGCTGAGGCCTCAGAGACCAGTGCTGGAGGCTAGGGAGGCTACAGAGGCTCAAACACAGACAGACAGACAGACACACACACACACACACACACACACACACACACACAGATACATACACGTAGAGACACACACACAATACATACACGTAGAGACACACACGAAGATACATAGGTACATACACATAGACACACACAGATCTATACACGTAGAGACACGCACACAGATAGATACATGTAGAGGCACGCACACAGATACACAGATACATACACGTAGAGATACACACACACACACAGATACATACACGTAGAGATACATACACAATACATACACGTAGAGACACACACAAAGATACATAGATACATACACATAGACACACACAGATACATAAACGTAGAGACACGCACACAGATAGATACACGTAGAGGCACGCACACAGATACACAGATACATACACGTAGAGATACACACACACAGATACATACATGTAGAGACACAAAGATACATAGATACATACACAGACACACACAGATACATACACGTAGAGACACACACAGACACACACATACACAGATACATACATGTAGAGGCACGCACACAGATACACAGATACATACACGTAGAGATACACACACACACACAGATACACAGATACATACACAGAGGCACACACAGATGGAGACACGGATACACATATACGTAGACATGCAGATACATATACATACAGAAAGAGACAAATACACATAGGCACAGACACACAGACAAGGAGAGGAGACCAGGGGACCAGCAGAAGAGTGGGTGCCATGCCAGGAAAGGACAAGGGGAGGAGGAGGAGTGGGGAAGGGAAATGGGAGAGGGGTGAGGGAGATAAACGGGGTGGACTGAGGGGAGGGAAATGGGGGGGGGGGAGGAAAACTAGGACCTTAGATGGGACCCCATGGAGCTGCCCAGTCCCAGCAGTGAGCAGAAATAGTGCCTGGCTTTCTTTAGGGCCCAGGGGCCATTGTAAAGTGGGTGAAGTGCTGGAGGGCAGCAGCCCCGTGGGGGACACAGAAGCAGGTCCCTTCTCCAGGGTGGGGCGGCGGACAAGGCAGCTGAGGGCAGAGGGAAGGGCGTTCCTGTAGTAAACGACCACCCCCAGGAAGCCAGGCTGTGACAGAATCTAGGCTGCTCGAGGAAAAGGGTCTGTTTCCTTTTTAAAGGAGGTGGCCCAGGGAGGGCTCGGTGGAGAGAGAAGCTCCAAGACTTTTCTTCTGACGCTTTGCTTTAAATTTCTCTTTTTTGAGACAGGGTCTTGCTCTGCTGCCCAGGCTGGAGTGCAGTCATGCAATCTTGGCTCGCTGCAACCTCTGTCTCCAGGGCTCGGGCAATCCTCCCACGTCGGCCTCCTGAGTAGCTGGGACTACAAGCAAGCACCACCTTGCCTGGCTAATTTTTGTCTTTTCGTAGAGATGGGGTTTCACCATGTTGCACAGGCTGGTCTTGAACTCTTGAGCTCAAGTGATCCACCCGCCGTGGCCTCTTGAAGGGCTGGGATTACAGGTGTGAGCCATCGAGCCCAGCTTTAAATTTCAAGCCTAAAGGAAAACTTGAAGAACATTGTCAGGAAATCCCCAATGTCCTTCTCCTATGCAAAGATGAATGGTTGCAGAGGTGGCGGGGTCAGCCTCTCTCCAGGGGGACTGTTCCAGGGCTCAGGTGGCCCCTTAACCCGCCCGCTGGGGGCTTTTGGCAGCCGTGCCTACCGTGCCGTGTGTCACCAGACCTTCCCATTGTTGCAAGGGCTCCTGGGTGACCCTTCTCTGGCTGGCTGCGGATGGCAGGTGCTGCCCGGAGCTGCATCTCTTCAGTGTCCTTTAGTGACAACATCCCCAGGTGTTTCTTCTCCCTATTACGAGGGCAAAGCCTCTGAAGTGTTCACCACTGCTGGATGCCCCTCGGCCTGGAGGAGGGACTGTCTCCACACCATGGGACTCGGGCGAGGGCTCTGAGGCAGGGCCCGAGGAGAACGTCACCTCAGCAGTGGCAGTGCATCAGAGCCTTCTGTGACGCAGGCCAGGCCCCCTGCCCCGGCACTGAGTGGGTCACCTCCCTGGGCTACAGCTGGAAACAAAGGCTGCCTCTCTCTCTCTCTGTCGACATTCAGCTCCGAGTCTCACTGGCTGGGCTGGGGCCGCCCTGCAGAGCTGGCTTGGGAGGTGAGGTGGACGCAGGCAAACAACTGAAGCAGCTCTGTGCAGCCCGAAGACCTTGGGAACACCGGGAGCCTGCTTTCAGCAATTCAGGAAGAACAAATGCACCTCCATATTTGGAATAATTACATTTTTAAAAAGTCAGACCAGAGTTCAGGGCCAAAACCGAACTGGTAAACTGCCAGTATTTTAAAGCGATTGGACACACTCATAATTAGACCACCCAAAATATGAGTTCAAGTTTTCATATTCAACATTGAGGATGTCAAGCTAAACGGAAACACAGCCAACTCCCAGGAACGCAGGCCCTCCGCTCTGCAGGCGGCGGGTTCTTGTGTGGAGTTGAGAAATCGCTGTAAGAACCACCTTGAGCACAAGGCTTCTTGCTCCACGGGTGGAAGACGCCTTCCAGTGCCCTCTTTTAGTAGAAAGTGAGAGCTTTCTACTAAAATGCACCTCTACAAAAGCCTCCAGCGGGTGGACACACACCGCCCACTGCATGTAAACCAGCCATGACTGAGGCTGGGCCTGGGCATGGCCAGCCAGCACGGTGGGCCAGTTTCGCCTGCAGAGTTCCACGCTCCACCTGTCCTCGATGGCGTGCTCTCTTCAGAAAGTTCCTTCATGCCACAAACCATTATTAAACACCACTGCATCCAAGGCAGCGGGCACGGGCAACAGAGGCTGACGCAGTTGGAGAACACTCGCCATCATCCCGACCACAGGCTGCGGAGAGGAGGGCAAAGCCAGCTCGGGGCCGATGCTGTCTGCCTGCTGGAGTTTTCTCAGCCAGCTCTGTGGGCTGCGGCCTCAGGAAAGCTAGAGTGGCTGCATGTGGCTGCGGGGACACCATGGCTAGGAGCAGGCCACTTCTGTTTCTGTTTCTCAGAGTGACGTCTCCAAAGCAACTGCCCTCCGAGGTACAGGCTGAAGGAGGGGCAGAGAGCAGCCCTGTGGGACAGGAGGGCTCACAGCTGCCAGAGCTGGGCCGATGTCCTCAGGGAGTGAGCCCCCTGGGACCGCCATCCTCCAAGAGGAGGGGCAGAGACGTCAGTGCCAGGCAGCGCTGGGTAAGATCCTTGTCTTACCTGGAAAGACAAGGCGTCCCTGGAAAACTCTGTCTAAACGTTTCAATCAACTGTCACTCGCTACTGTAAATCAATGGCAGAACAAACTCCAGTGAGAGTACCCGGTTGCTACATCATTCAAGAATCTAATGCATGTGAATAGGTGTTTCCCGTCTTCCTCAAACCTCCTACCCATCACTCAGATAATGACATAATAAATTAACAAACCCAAGTGGCATTAGCAAGACAGATGTGAAAGTGCTTTTGACACCTGGGAGTGAAGACGCCTGGCAGGTGCCTGCCACGCCCCCAGCCTGTGCCTTCCCGGCCCAATGAAGGGATTTGCTGGGCAGCCCGCCCATTTCTGATTGGCTCCCTGTGTCTTGTGAGGAGGGCCTGCAGCTGGGGGGCACATGGGTGGGAAGGGTGCGCCTGTTCTTTAGCGCCCAGTGGGCAGCGGGGCCAGGCTGTGGCCCCAAGGGGCCCGTTTCCCCAGTGATAAGCCTGCAGCCCGCAATGATTTAGACGCTCAGACGCACGTGGGCCACAGCCAGCTGGCATCTCCCAGGGGCCTTCTCCGAGTCAGTCCCACAGGCCTGGACACCACGCAATCAGACCCTTTGACCAATGCGAGGGCTGAGCCCACCGCTCTTCTGGGCTGGAACCCTGGGGCTTTGGAGAAGGAAATTGGGACCAGGTAGGTGGGAGGGGCTGATGGTGTCAGGAGTCCAGGGCTGCTGGAGGAGGCGGCAGTGTGGGGGTGGAGGGCTCTCTCCCACAGCATTGCCTCTGCCCTTGCTGGGGATCCTGGTACTTCCCCTTCCAACTCGCATCCATCTGTGCTAGGAAAGTCTGTCTCCTTCCCAATCCTAACCCCGAGTTTTCACCCTCAGGAAAACCACAGAAGACTCCGACCCTCCGGACAGGCAGACGCCCAGGACGTCCTGAAACCCAGGGAGTAACGGGCAGGTTAGAGTCGGGGTGTGCGGGCACTTTCACCAGAGACACAACAGGGAAATGATTCTGTCTCCAAATCTGCCAGAGGCTTCTCAACGTCTCCTTCTGAAAGTCACCCCAGACGCTCCCCTCCTATCAACTCACCTCTCTTTTCCTCGTAACAGCTTTGTTGGGATGTCATTCACATACCATCCGATTCACACTTTTAAATGACAGCATTTGTTGTTTTTAGTATATTCACAGAACTGCGCAGCCATCACCATAGCCTGATTTTGGAAGAATTTCATCATCGCTAAAAAGAGATGCTGCTTCCCTGGCAAGGCTCCCCATCTGCCTGTAGCACCCCAGGCCCGGCACCCCCGAATCTGCATCCTGTCTCTGTGGGTCTGTCTTTTCCGGACGTTTTGTTGGCATGAAATCATGCCACATGTGGCCTCTGGTACCTGGCCCCCTGCTTTCAAGGCTGACCCGTGCTGCAGTGGGCCAGTATCATTCCACTTTGTGGCTGAATGACATTCCAGTGTGCCGACCTGCAGCTATGCATCACAGGAGGGACGCCTGCGCTGCTCCCTTGATGTGGCTATCATGACTGATGTGGCCATCACAGCTGACATGGCCATCACGACTGACGTGGCCATCACAGCTGACATGGCCATCACGACTGACGTGGCCATCACAGCTTGACATGGCCATCGCGACTGACGTGGCCATCACAGCTGACGTGGTTATCGCGACTGACATGGCCATCACAGCTGACGTGTCCATTGCGACTGACGTGTCCATCACGGCTGACGTGGCCATCGTGACTGATGTGGCCAGCACGGCTGACGTGGTTATGATTGACGTGGCTATCACAGCTGACGTGGTTATCATGATTGACGTGGCTATCACAGCTGACGTGGTTATCATGATTGATGTGGCTATCACAGATGACGTGGTTATTGTGATTGACATGGCTATCACGACTGACAAGAGCTATCAGGACTGATACGGTTTAGATCTGTGTCCCTGTCCACAGTCCCTGCTGAATTTAACCCCCAATACTGGAGGAAGGGCCTGGCGGAAGGAGACTGCATTGTAGGGGTGGACATGCCATGAATGCTTGAATATCATCCCCGGTGCTGTCCTCACTGTAGTGAGTGGGTTCTGTGAGGTCTGGTCAGTTGGAAGTGTGTGGTCCCTCCCCTGCCCCTCCCCATCCCTCACTCCTGCTCTTGCCAAGTGATGCCCCCGCTCCCCCTCCCCCTCCCACCATGATTGAAAGTCTCCTTGAGGTCCCCCCCAGAAGCAGACGCCAGCACCAAGCTTCATCTAGAGCCTGCAGAACCAGGAGCCAATGGGACCTCTTTTCTTATGAAACACACAGTCTGAGGTATTTCTCTACAGCAGGGTGAGAACGGCCCGATACAGGGCCCCAGGTCACCGTGAAGGTCTGCCTGAGTTTTTGTGTAGATGCGTGCTTTCATCTCTGGCAGCAGAGCTGTGGGGCCCCGTGGTGGCTCTGTCCAACCTTCTGAGGAAATGCTAGACTATTTTCATAGCAGCTCATTGATCTTGTATCTTAAAGATGCGCTATTTCACACGCCAGCATTTGATGAACACGTATTCAGCACTTCAGTTTCCTATTAACCAGCATCACAGCACTAACCTTTCCTACTGCCTCCTCTGAAAATGGACTTATCTGAGTGCCTTTCAAGATGTCTGTGGGTTACGCTGACCTCTGTGGGTTGGCCGGGGCCCAGCACCGCCTCTGACAGTGTCCCTTCAGCTTCCTGCTACAGTTCCGCACCTGTACAACTCCAACCACTCCTGCCCCCGGGCCCTGTACACTCTGCTTACACTTAGACAGCTGCATGGGCTGGATGCCTGGAAGATGGGCACTGTGGGCTGCTGGTTTATTTAAAGACATGTTGAGTAAATGGCCTTAGGTAACCCCAGAAACAAGTGTTGCCCAAGCAGATGATTCCATTTGTGGGCACTGAGGCCCCACGGGCAGGACGTCGTCCAAGTGGACTCACACTGGCTGGCAGGGGAGGGTGCTGGCCCTGCGTATCCCGCTGCAGGTGAACTGCTCCTGAGCCCAGGCTCCCAGCAGCATCCCCCTGCCCCTGCCCCTGCTCCATGGGCCAGAGCACCAGCTGCTCCGGTTCCCTCTTTCTGCCTCCTGGCCTACCTCAAGGTCAGAAAGGGGCCAGTGCTGAAGGCTGGGGCTGAAGCACACAGCACACAGCCGCTCCGGAGCCTGGGAGCACCAAGCCAGCAAACCCACCTTGTTCATGTGCAGTTGCTGCTGCTGGAACTGCTGCTTATGTTTCTCCAGAAACTGCTGATGCTGCTGCTGGATGACCAGGTGCTGCAGGGCCTGGGCGTTCTGGGGCAGCGGGGCTGACTGAGTCCGCCCCAGTGGGCGGTGCTGCCGCAGCTTGTGGATGGAGGGGGACACCCGGTCCGCACCAACCAGGGACTGTGCGTGGAGAGGCAGAGCTCCCAGGCCTGAAAGATACCAGTCTGAAGATAATTGGAGGAAGAAACAGCAGAGGGGAAGAGGAAGAAGAGAGGAGGGAGAGAGGGCTGTTGAGTAAGTGATGGAGACAACCGCACCCTGTGCCCGCCAGCTGGGCGCTCTGCCCTGGTGCCTCGGAGCTGGCTCGCTAACTGGGCCCCTTCCAGCTGAGGCCGGGGGCCGTGAGCTGGTGCTTTGCGACCACAGGAACCATCATTTGGAGGCAACTTTCCATTGAAAATCAGGTCTGTACAGGGAGCATCAGGAGTCCTGTGGGGCAGGTTTCAAAGAGGAAGCCGTTCCCAAGAGTAGCCACCACACCATCGCTCCTGGGCCATGCCCGCAAAGGGCGGGTTTTGATGTGAACGGCACGGTGGGCGGGGAGAGGGCACCAGTGTGCAGACAAAGCCTGCCACGGTTACGGGAGCCTCCAGCCTGTTTCCGAAGACTACCTGAGTTGTGAGGAAAAACAACTGTCCTTAGGGTCCATGTCATTTGAAGGGTCTCTTTGAGCACTGATCTTATGCACAAAGATGGCATCAACACTTTAAAAAGTCTGGAGGCATACCATCAAAACCCCTTTCAGAAAAGATTTTGCCAACATCCCTGCCAGCTAAGCAAAGGATGCCCACTTCACCATACCCTCACCAACCCTGTGCTTTTTGATTAAAAGAATTCATTTTGACAGGAGATGATCTTGCTATAACTGGCGTCTGAATCCTGATTTAAAATGCTACCTAGTCAAGTACATTTTTTCCCTTCTGTATGCTTTTCGTTCATCTATATCACTCTATATAAATATTTATAAATTTATATATCTATATGTTTGCAAATTGTTGGTTTAGGTAATTTAGCATTTTTCCATGGCTTTGTGGATGAAAGGATTTACCAAACCACCTCCCCTGCTCCATGAATATCTGTCCCCTAGTAACTTGAGGGGGGTAAACACTAAACAATGCTGCTCAGGGTACAAGTGACCCTGAGCCGGTCAAGGGCGTCTGACTGGGTGAAATGACAAAGGAAATGATCACACCAGCTCTTGGAGGCCCTGAGGTGGGGGATTCTTTGGAACTTGGCACCTGCCTGAGGCAACCTGCTGCCCCTTCCCTTGGGTGGGGCTACACACCTGCTGCAAGGGTCCAGGGATGTCCAGAGTCACCAAGGTGGCCCTGCCAGCAAGTGGCAGCTCCTGTCCTTCCCTCCCCAGGGACACTGATGCCGGGGTTCTTCGGGCAGCTGGGTGTGCCGTCAGGTTTAGTGGAGCCCAAGCCTCCCAGTGAGAACCACGCTTCTCAGTGCTTAAGTGCCTTTGCGGTAGCTTTTCTAAATTTAAGAAATACTATGTGATATGCAAACACAAAGAGCACACCCAGAACCAACCTCCCCCCCAACAAGCCTGATCTTCACGACCTTTCCAAGAGTTCTTCCCTGGTGTTCTGCAAACCACCATCCCTTCCCACCAACCCCATCACTTTCCTGAAAGACACCTTCTCTTAAATTTTATTATCAATGTTTGGCTACTAAATTAAAGTGAAAAACTAAAAATCCATTCAGAATCATTCCCTAAAAATGCTAAAAAAAGAGAAGGTAAACCATCCTGAAGGTGGCATTTCAGGCTGGGTGCGGTGGCTCACGTCCATAATCCCAGCACTCTGGAGGCCAAGGTGGCCAGATCACCTGAGGTCAGGAGTTTCAAACCAGCCTCGCCAACATGGCAAAACCGGGTGTGGCGGCACACGCCTGTAATCCCCGCTACTTGGAGGCTGAGGCAGGAGAATCGCTTGAACCTGGGAGGTGGAGGTTGCAGTGAGATGAGATTGTACCATGGCACTCCAGCCTGGGTGACAGAATGAGACTCTGTCCCCCTGCCCCTCCAAAAGGAAGGCATTGCAGAATTTATCAATTGTTGGTGTGGGTACTACATGGGATTGAACTACTTCATGGAGGAAATGAGGAAGTCAGCCACACAAAGCGGCCTTCAGGGGATACAAAGGCTACGTAGTTGCTGAAAAGGTCTCTTCTCAGAAAGCAATGGGAAGCTGAAACGCATTTTCCTTAGCGCTGTTTTCCCAGAGCTTCAGTGTGCACACCAGTCAGGGGTGGAGTCGGTGATGAGCTGCACAGTCCCCTGCCCTGGCCTGACCCTAAGTGGCAGCGGGGGGAGGGTGGGCGGCGCGGAAGTAGGGGAGGGGAGGAAGCAGGGGGAGGAGGGGCCACCTTCATAGGACTCATGATCAGGAACAAGCACTCGAGCCAGCGGCGTGAGTGAGGGTGGCACAGTCCTCCCCAGCTCCTTCCTGTCCAGAGCTCTGCCTCCCCCTCCCTCTGCATGGTCCCAGGGATTTCCCAGGCCACCACCTTCACACTGGGGACATAGGCCTATGCCCCCAGGGGAACAGGGCTTCATTTTCAGAATGGACGTGAGCAGAGACCCCTGTGCAGACTGGCCCTGCTCCTTTTCTAGTTCCACCCCCCAGGGCCCAGCCCTTCCCTCTCTCTCAGCCTCTCTCGCCCACTCAGAATTTCACTCCGCTGCCTCCTGGGAAGCAAAACCCAGTGTCGCCCCACACGCGGACGGCCTACCCCTGAGCATCCTTGAAACGAGGTGCCCTGACCTCTGCGTGGCGATGCTATCTGCTGGCTGGGTGGTTTCCAATTTGGATCCCTGAGATCATGAACAAGAGTTTCTGATGACAGACCAAGACGTGGCTTCAGGGTATACCGTCAAGGGCTTTCCAGCATGAAACCCCAGTCCATCAGGATACAATTCTGTGGTCAGCGACCTGATTGCAGGGGCTGGCTACGTGCTGCTGGGCAGGGGTGTGGGGGCAGAGCCTGGCTCTTATGGCCCCAGTGGTCCCTTGCTCTGGGCCCCTCCACTGGGCATCTTAGCCAGGGCGTTCCCAGCTTCCGCCCTTCCTGCCGGGAGCACTGGCAGAAGCCCCTCCCTGTGCTAGGTGCTGGAGCCACAGCTGACCTGGCTCCTGGTGCTGGAGGGCCATGTCCCTGTGGCTGCTCCTCCTGGAGGGACCTGGGGCTGTGCCTGAACTGTGCTCCCTGGCCGGCCCCCCTGGAAGCTCACACTCCAACTCGCCATCACAATCACTGCAAGGACAGCTCCTGAGTGAGCGCCCGGAATGGACCCAGCCAGCAGGGTCTAGGGTTTAGCATACGCTGCCTAGCAATATCGAAACTAGTTAGAGAGTTTGCAAACTCTGACTTAGACACGCCCCAGCAGGTGTGGGGACTCAAGAAAAAAGAAGCAATAAGACTGGGCTGCTCTCCAGATCCAGACCCAGGGTTGAAGAGCTGGTCTTCATGCCGTGGGATTCTGTGTGAGCGATGAGTTCACACGGGATGAACTGTTCAGGCTGCCTAAGTCCTCAAACATCCGTCTGGGGTACTCCACTGCTGCTTCTGTGAAATTCTTTAAAATCCTTCCATTGAGAAGTAAGCCAGGCAAGAGTTAGATCCAACTCACAGTTTGCAATCCTGGCTGCCCGAGCCACAGTCCGCATGCTCTGAACCCACTTGGACCAATCAGCATCTTTGTGAGCTTCTCGGGACGGAGCTGGGGCCAGGCCAGGGCCGAGGACCACAGCCTAACGTGCCAGTGACGGGACATGACCCACAACGAGCTGTGCTCAAGTCCCTCCTAGGACTCGCTGTTTTCAGGGGAGATCAGACCTAAACGGTGGCATGCAATTACTAACACAGAAGCCAGAGGCACCCTCCACTCAGCCTGTGACAGTGGAACAGTGGATCTCCGCGGCCAGCTCAGGAAAGCAGTAGCCTTAAGACGCTGGCGGCATGCTCTGAGTGTGTGGCCAGGAGGCTAGAAAGATCTGTGACAAGGCCGCCTCCAGCAGGCACATGCTCCCTCGACCTGGGCCTTTCTCCCGCCTCTCTGCCTGCGGGCTCCTACTGTGAGATCTCAGCTCTGACGCCCCTTCTCTAGAAAGCCTTCCCCACGCCCACCTGCTGCACAGCCCAGGTCTCTAGCCTTCTCCTCCAAACGCCTGCTCCTCCTGGGTCTTGGGGGGCCCTGTCTCTCGGGTCCTGACAGCAAGTTACATGGTTCTCAACAACCTGCTTCTCAGCCACACGGACATCACAAAGGAATCGGCTGGGCTGCCCAGGCCACGAGCAGGCCCACAGTTCCGCGCCCTAAAAGCAGCAGCACAGGGCTCTGCATATGCACTTTCCTTCTCGCCCACGGTGGGCTCCTGAGCTCCACTCCCTGCCTCGGCTAGTTACGCAGACACTAATCTCCTAATGCAGCAGCCACTCTGCAGAGATCTGAGTCCACAATGGCCATCTGCGGAGTGCCGTACTAGAGCAGCACATAAGCAGGGACATAGGAGAGTCACACTGAGTCTGTGACAGTGGCAAGGGGCTGTCCGGAGCAGGGCGGAAAGGGCCGACTGGAGGTGTGTGGTGCGTAGGAGGCAGCTCCGGGAGACCCTGGACCATGCTCACCCCTCTGGTCTCCACCACTGACCTCACCCACAGAGGCCTCTGTTTCAAAGTGTTTGTGACCAGAGGGTTGTCCCAACTCTGATATCCTATGGGCCTGTGCACCACGATTACCAGCGGGAAGGTGGGTCTGTCTGTGGGCTAGGAAAACACAGGCATGCTGTCCAGGAGACCAGCTCAGGCAGGAGCTGGTGAAGAACTGTGGGAAAGGACCGAACACAGAAACGAAGAGTCAGCGTGGTCCAGGGAAGGGGCCGATGAGGCAGGACAGGGGCACGGGATGAGGCGGTGGAGGAACCACAGCCAACGGGAAAAGGCCCCGGTGCCGGGAGCGGGCTGAGGACTGCGGCTGCGGCCTGGTCCAGCGTTGAGCCCCCCGGCCTGGCTGCCATGCCGGACTGGGGAGGAGCGGTGAGGCTCCTGGAGCAAGGCCGGGCTTCCTGCTGACACGCTGGGACTTCACCCCAGGTTTGCGCCGCCCTGCCAGGGCTTCTGTGACAAGGAGGACATTCAGTGCAGCGGCCGTGCACCGGATGTGGTCCACATGGCACTGAGAATGTGAATTCCAATTCTGACTTTCTCTTTTTATTTCAGTTTCACGGCTCCTCATGGCTGGCGGCTCCTGACCTGGCTGGTACTGCTCCAGGCAGCGTAGGGGCCGCCAGGCCTTCCAGGAGAGTCTGCTGGCTGCAGAAGGACACACTGGAGGGCGGGAACCTGTGCAGGAGGCTTCTTTCCACGAGAGGATGGGGCAGTCCCAGTGGGTTCCAAATCAGGGCCCTGCTTATGTCAGGGCTGAGGGAGTGCCCCAAGGCACTGAGAAGACGAACAGGGGCTGGCTGGGGGCATGAGCCAGCGTGGGAGGTGGCAGGTTAAGAAGAACAAGGCAACAATCACAACAACACCCACACCTGCAGGGCACGTGAGTGCACAGCCCACTGAGACCTCATCAGGCACACCGGGGCTGACCCCTTAGTGCGCCCACTTCCAAGATGGAAAAACAAGGCCCACAGAGCATAAGTGGCTTCCCGGGTCATAGAGCAGGAGAAGGCTGGGACGGAGCATCTGTGCAGCTGCACGACGCTGCACGTGAGACGCTGGCTTTGGAGGCTCCCAGCCAGAGTGCTGGCGGGACGAGCCGCTGGCAACCCGGGGGGCCCTGCAGGAAAGACGGGGCTTGCGGAGTTTCGAAGGTGGTGGGCAGAACTGGAGGGGCTGGCTGGGCACAGGTGTAGGGCAAGGCCAGAGCTAGCTGGGCAGCCATGCATGGGCCCCCCCAATGCCACAGAGCCTGGAAGGGCACCACGGACAGTCAGCAAGTGAGCAAGCCGCACCTTTGAGCACAAGACGACTGACCGCACAGGGAGGAAGCAATGCCGAGCTCAGCACGTGTCTCGGAGAGGGGAGATCCACGCAGAGCCGTCATTCAGCTTCTACAAAACAAGGCTGTTTTCCCAGAACCTGATACACAAGACTACGCACGTTACCTAACCACGTATAACAAACCGATTTAAAGAAGGAAAGAAGATGAGTGATAGTTGGTGTGGGTACTACATGGGATTGAATCCCAGGAATCCTGAAGCAACAGGCATATTTCACATTTTTAAAAGATATGAGAGAGAAACTCAGGTGGCCTTCACCACCCAACCTCAGGCTAGCTGATCTGGAGCATCTAAGAGACTCAGACGCGATCTCAGAGAAATTCCTCCAGACAGACCCCCGTGCCTGCCACCGTGGCCCGGGCGCAGAGAGGTGCCGTGAGGGCTGCCCCTACCTGGTTACAACGCTGGTTCCTTTGCTGTGAACAGGGCAGGGGCACGAATTTGAGCTTCTGGAGAATCAAGCAAAAGGGCCCAGGCATAAAACAAAGGTGGCCCCTTGCGGCTTCCGGTGAAGCAGGAGTAAGGAGGGATCCTCTCTGTCTCAACACACGGGCAGCACAAAGCAAGAAAACACCGAAACCCCCCACACCAGTCACACCAGAGGCCCAGGCCCGCCCGGGCCAGCCCCCAGCCCCGCGCACCCCGCAGCGCAGCCTCCCACAACACACCAAGCTCCTGAGTTTTCACCAAGTTCACCGCCAGAGTTTCACAGGCGCAGCTCTGAGATTATTTTAGCTTTTCACCAGGAACAAGAGATTTCCAGGAAGCCGAACGTAAAGCTATGAAGATGTACAATGATGACCCGCACAGCAAGGGGTAGGTGCTCCCTCATTTCTTCTGAGACGGAGTCTTGCTCTGTCACCCAGGCTGGAGTGCAGTGGCACAGTCTCGGCCAACTGCAACCTCCACCTCTCCAGTTCAAGCTATTCTCCTACCTCAGCCTCATGAGTAGCTAAGATACAGGCACCTGCCACTATGCCCGACTGATTTCTGTATTTTTAGTAGGGATGGGGTTTCACCACGTTGGCCAGGCTGGTCTCGAACTCCTGATCTCAGGCAATCCACCTGCCTCGGCCTCCCGAAGTGCTGGGATTACAGGTGTGAGCCTCTGCGCCAGCCGGGGCACCCTCATTTCTGCAGTGACACTTTCACACTGCTGATGCTATGCAATTTCATAAGGAAGTTCTTATTTTTCTCTGAATTGTATTTTTCTAAATGTAGAAAAACTTCCGAGCTCGGGCCACCCCCGAGACGGGGCACATTTGAAAAAAGTTCCAGTAACGGAAACTGACCACAGGAGTCGGTTCGGGGCTTCCAGCACTGGCTCAGCGTGGCCCAGTCAGAAACACAAATCGGAAGAGCCAGTGAGTGACCTCTCCCGAGAGGTGAGAAAGGGGCAGTGACTTGTTTTCACTCCGTCTACCTGACTCTGGGAGGGAGGCGTGGATGCGTTGCAGCCACGGTGGCTACGTGACATGACAGGGATGTGTGTTTGGGAACTGCGGGGTGGGGCAGGCGTGCCTTTCTGTCTCCTCCAAAGTGGGCGAGGGCCGGGCACCATCCGGAGAGGGGGCAGCCTCAGAGCCTGACAGCGGCCGAGCCCACCTGTGCTCACCTGTGACGAGGGGCGCTTGTGCCGGGGGCTGCTCCAGTAGGACCATGTGCTGCAGGAGAGGGCTGTGCGCTGCGCCTCCATCCCGCTCCAAGGGCGAGGTGCTCAGGTAGGGAGTGAGGTGGGTGCCCGGGAAAAGGGACAGCCTCTGCTGGAGGGCGGGGAGGGCAAGTCTCTCGGCGTCCTGCTGGCCCGCTGCGCCCTGGAAAGCACAGCCAGGGATGCTCAGGAGGAAGGACCCACCACCGCCACCCCACGCCACAGGGACCCCCGGGGGTGACTTACAGCGGAAGGGCCGGTGGCAGGCAGGCCCAGCGTGATGTTGGGCAGGGAGGGCGACGTGTAGAGGGGAAGCGGAGCAGCCGAGCCTTCTCGCGCCACAAGTCGGTGCGCCAAACTCGTCTGGGGACAGAACACACAAGGACCGTCACGGTGGGTCATGGCCAAACATCAGCAGTACCCACCAAGAACAGCAGCAGTGAAAACACCTGTGGCGGCCTGCGCTGCATTCCGATGTGTTCCGAGCGTACACGCAGTGGAACAAGTGAGATGGCGATGAGGGGTGAGAGCTCAGCACGTGCCGCGGCACGGAAGCACAATTCGGGTTCGTTTCCGCCCCCTGATATGAGTTCTTCCTCTGTCACACGGAAGCACAATTCGGGGTTCGTTTCCGCCCCCCGATACAAGTTCTTCTGTCACCTTTTCCGGCATCAGCTCGTGGATTTCTATTCAATTTGATTATTTACCACAGAGGAATCAGAAGAAAATCTAGCATAATGTAGTTTACGTCATTTTGTAGTTGGGGATGTCTTTCCAGACGTAACATCAAAGGCAGAAACCAAAACGAAAATACATTTAGTTGTACATTTAGAAGTAAGTAAAGGGGCATGCTTGGGTTGTTTGTAACACAAAGGATAAAGGCTTGAGAGGAGGGACACCCCACACTTTGCATGACATGACATGACGCATTGCATGTCTGTACCAAAACATCTCACGTACCCCACAAATATATCCACCTATTGTGTACCCACAAAAATTAAAAAGAAAATCATAAAACAACCGCTTGTATGACAGGCAGGAAATGAAGACAACACCAGCCGCATGTGGGCAGATGAGGGCGAGCACGGAGAGCTTGCAGGCCCAGCCGACAGTGGGAAGTGCACACGGTGAGGACTGGCGACTGCGGAGCTCACGGAGGGGAGGACGGTCAGGAAAATCTGAAAAACCAGCCAACCTGTGACCCTAGAGCCCCATGCCTGGGACATAATGTTAGGAAAGCTAAGGAGGTGACCTGGTGCTCACGAAACCTCGACCGCGGGGCTGAGCACCCAGCAGGCAGGGCAGAGCAAGGCGGCCTCTCCAATGCCTCAGTGTTAACAGAACAGGGGACGTGGCACATGGGACTCGGGGGGTTGGGAACGATCTTGGTGATTACTTAGACACTTGTTTATGATCCCTTAAGTTAGGAAAACAGGTTTTAGAACTGTGTAGCTTTTAAAGAATAGGCCTGGATGAAGCAAATATAAGCCAGGAGTAAATATTAGAAGGCACACAGGAAGGGTCACTGATATTTAACCTCTTTTGCTTGTAGAATGAACGTATGTTGCTAAAAAGGACAACAGCTTGTCACCACTATATCCCCTACACAGCAGCTACTCAAGGAGCGTCTGCTGAATGAACAGGAAAAGAGAATGAACGAAAGATGTTGTAACAATGCTAGCTAGTGGGGTTTGGCAGACGGAAATCCCCTTACCAGAAGTGAACATTAATAATGAACAGATAAACCGGTTCTATGACACTCTCTACCTCCCTGACATCAACGTTTTTAGCTCCCCCAGATGAATGAGAAAATGTGAGGTCTGTCTTTCTACGCCTGGCTTTCTTCACTTAACATGAAGACCTCCAGTTCCATCCATGTTGCTGCAAATGTCAGTCCATCCTTTTTGATGGCTGCATAGTATTCCACTGCGTACAGCACTGCAGTTTCCATCTGTTCATCCACTGAAGGACACTGAGGTTGATTCTGCCTCTCAGCTATTGCGAAAGCTCACGCCTGTAATCCTAGCACTTTGGGAGGCCGAGGCGGGTGGATCACGAGGTCAAGAGATTGAGACCATCCTGGTCAACGCGGTGAAACCCTGTCTCTACTAAGACTACAAAAAATTAGCTGGGCATGGTGGCGCGTGCCTGTAATCCCAGCTACTCAGGAGGCTGAGGCAGGAGAATTGCCTGAACCCAGGAGGCGGAGGTTGCGGTGAGCCGAGATCGCGCCATTGCACTCCAGCCTGGGCAACAAGAGAGGAAATCTCCGTCAAAAAAAAAAAAAAAAAAAAAAAAAAAAGATTTATGGCTAAGACCTCAAAAGCACAGGCAACAAAAATGAAGACAGACAACTGGGACTCTGCTAAACTAAAAAGTTTTTGCACAGCAAAGGAAAATAATCACCAGAGTGAAGAGACAGCCTGTGGAAAGGGAGAAACGTGTGCAAGCGCTTCATCTGACGAGGGAGCGGTATCCAAACACACAGGAGCTGCAGCGACTCACCAGCAAAACCCGAATCGCCCCACAGAAAAGTGGGCACGGATCTGGAGAGACGTTTCCCAAAAGACACACCAGTGGTCCACGGGGACAGGAAGAAACGCTTCTCCTGACAAACACTTACGCTCAGGCTGTTTCCACAGAACAGAAAAGCCAGCCTTCTCGCTTAGGGGCAAACGCACCTCGCCCCAGAGAAAACCCCGCATCTCCCTTTCGATTTGCTCACATGTTACATTGTATCACTAATGACGAAAGGGCTGGTGCAAACATTTTTCCTAGACACGTTTTTTTTTTTGGTCAAAGGTTAAAGAATTATCAGTAAGTTCTGCTGTAGAGAAAATGCTCGTGATTTCCGGAAAAGCACAATGGGAACAAAATAAGGAGACATTCTCATGTTTGCAAAGTTTTGATCTCCTTTGTAAGCAAGGTTTTTAAAGCCATTTCTGGAAAGGAAGGCGCCTTCTGAGAATGTGTTCCGTGAGATGCCGATGGATCCACTCGAGAAATCACAAGGCGTCCTGGCACCTGCTGTCTCGGGGCCAGCCTTGTGGGAGGCGTTCAGGGGCTGGGGCCACCCGGAGCTCCACTTGTGCTCAGAGGCCAGGTCCGCAGGCCTGATGCGAAGCATGGAGGCACACGTGTAAATCACAGCAGCGGCGGCCACAGAGGAGCTGTCCCCTTAAGCACCTGGACAACGCCCCCTCACTCTCAGAGCCCTGCCTCCTCCCTGGTAAAGGAGGAGGTGCAGGGCATGCTGGGCTTCCCTGGATCCTGGGGGACCTTCAAGGTACGGCAGTCTTTCCAGGGGGCCCAGAGTGAACAGAAAAGGCAGTGCTGAGAGTCAGGCTGGGAGGCCTCTGCTCCCCCACGCCCCCATCCACTTGAGATGCCCGCTCCGATGGGCAGGCTCACCAGCCTCTGTATCACATGAGAATGGAGAACCAGCCCCTGGCCAAAAAAGTATGGGCGTTCTCAGACACCGGTCCAACTCTAGTGATACCGACACCCATAAAGGGCACCTGGACATCTGACACGGAGCAGGAACCGTGGCACCCCTTCAGTTTCCCGTAACTCCTTCCACACGTTCTATTAATTTCCAGTGACTTCATTTATGTGTCACAGGATTTGTAAAAATTAACACAGAGCTGGAACGAGGCAGAGCCACCCCAACGCGGCACTGTTCCAACATTAACTGCCATGTCCGTAAGTGCCCTGTAATGCAAAGGTGTATCTAGGACCACAGTCAACAAGAGGCGGCCGTGTGAACCTCGCAGGACAGAAGTAATTTCTAGGCTGCATTCTAAGACTTATTGCTGGCAGACCTCAGCTATGACCGCAGCCACACAGAGGAGGACTGTTCAAACTCCTGATCAGCTACGTAAGTGCTGGCGTTAGCAGGCTGAAGACAGGTAATAAAAGAAATCGATGTACGAAGGAAAAGAACGACAGAAAATGGGGCTTAAGCAGCCTTGAGGCGGCAGTGCAGAATTCATTCCTAGCAGTAACCCTAGTTTCTAAAAATGTTTATACATAAACGGTCTTGAAATTTGAACTGAAAATGCTAAACACTCATGCCTCTGTAGCCCAGCTAAGATTTGCCAGTGCTTTGGAAGGGCAGGATTCATTTCTAAATATTTAAGAAGGAAAGTCAATAACTATATTTAATAAATTATAGCCTTCCGTAAGTTGGAGAGAATTCACAAAGAACCTCCCACTCAGTAGAACTCTGCCCCATGAAGCAGGCAGGAATTCCCGCTCAATGTATTAGAAAACTCACTGCCAAGGCGTTCTCCTCCCACGCCTGCCCTATGGTCAGGCCCACTCATGCCCAGGGCACCCCTCAGCCTGTGGGACTGTCTCTCTCTTCTTCCCCGTGCCCTGGGGGTGGCCTCTCCTCCTCTGTGGGGCACAGTGTGGAGGGTGGGGGTGGGTCCTTGCTGCCTGCCTGGCTCTGTCCCTGGGCCTGGCACAAGGTGCCTGAGACGTGTGTGGGATAAAGGCAGGGGGCGCCAAGGAGCTCAAGGAACACGGTGTGAGGTCCTGGGACCTGCTGCCCTGGAACGGCTCTGGGTATGGTCAAGGCGCGACCCCGCCAGCCAGGGCGCCACTCGTACCTTGCTCCTGGGCCTCTGACGTCTTTCCCACACGGGGACTCCAGAGCGCCCTTGACTCCACTCTAGCTTAGCAACATCCTTCTCAGACCGTGGCACTACTTGGGGTCTGATGAGGGAAGGAGACCGGGGTGCCAAGCCCTGTGGTCTGAGATGCCTGGCGCCCATGAAGGTTGGGAAGCCTCCGTTCTGTGGCTCTGGCCAGCCCTGCCCTGCTGACCACAGGTGACGCTCCAGTCGGCTGACACATGGTTTGCTGGCGGACATTGTGTTGTGTATTTCTCAATACAAAACAAAAATGTTAAGTCTCACTTAGCAATTATACCCACGTGCCCATGGCTTCTCAGCCACCTGCAAGGCGCTGGAGACCACATCAAGCTGGGCAGCAGGGGTCCTGTCCGCCTAGAGCGCCTGCCATGCATGGTGGGCTCATGCTGTGACACTGTCTAGTGAACTCTGCTCTGGAAGAGGCCAGGAGACAGGATCAGGCTCAGGCTGTCCCCAGTGTGGCGGGAACTAGCACGTCCGTAATAACGGAGGCGTCTGTGCTGAAGGGGAGGCGGGAGGTAACCTCCAACTGCGTCCTTCTCTGGAGAGTGCACAGGTCGCTTTCTCCCACCCCACACAGGAAGGTGCAGAGTGAAGGGCAGGTGTGGAGGGGTCATTTTAAGCACATCGCCCCCCGAACCCGACGCGCTGCAGGACGCGGGACAAACGCTTTGTACCGACCTCCGCCGGGATGCTGGGGACGGCAGGCGCGATCCCGTTCTCGGTGCTGACGTTCCCGGAGCTGTTGGGTGAGCTGGGCCCGGAGCCGGGGGCGCTGCTGCAGGCAGAGTCTGCGGAGGCAGAAAGACCCCGGTGAGTGCCACCCGAATGGAGGGCGGGCCGGGCTGACCTGCGGTCCCAGTGCCCGGTGCCTTCCACGCATCTGCTCGTTAGCTCGCGGCAGGCAGAAGTCCCAACAACAAAGAACACGGCCACAGTTTCAAAAACGGGAGGATGATGCCGACTTCTGATGCTTCAGTTTTGCCGCTGACTTCGCTTCTTCTAGGACGTGCACATTGATCAGTTTTATACCTTGTTTGATTTTCAAGATAGTTTTAAACACCGAAAAGATAAATCCTTAAACATTTATTAATAACCTAACCACAGAAGACCAGGAAATGCAGAAGCTGAGTGATCTGGAAAAGCAAAAGGTCAACTTTCCTGTGCCACTACCAAAAGCTCAGTTCAGAATAAAGCAGCCTACCGCGTGACTGCTGAGTCGAACCCTCTCATCTCCCTGCACCGTAGCAAGCATCAGGGGAAAACAGAGCTGGTGTCTCCTGGGATCCATCAGTGCTACTGGAAACGCACGCTCGGACAGTCTTAGAGGACCCTTATCCATACGGGTGGCTTGACCCTGGTTAATGAGACCAGATTCCACTCCCACTGAATGTGACTTCCAAAAGCAGCCACGTCCAATCCAAAGGTCCCTTCAACTCTGAAGGAGCCTGCTGCTATTTCGGGCATACACACCCACTGTGGGAGGCCACTGCAGCTCTCAATAGTCACACAAGGACTCATCTGGCTCCTCATATGTTTAACGGCATTTTTAACAATGGCATCATCTGGTTAAGGCTTTCCAAAGAAAACACAACATGACCTATTTGCCTCAAAAACTTTAGGAGTCTACTGTTCGGCCATGACTTGGGGGGCTCAGAACCTCACCCCCACCCCAGACTTGCCCAGCATGTGCAGGTCAGAAGGAAGGGGCACGTGGGGACACTGGAGGGGAGGTTTAGGGGTGTTTTCCCCAAGCAGCCGCTCACTGGAGCTGCCCCGAGCATAGCCTCCTCCACGGTCTGCTGGCTGCCCAGGTCCCTGAAGCCCATGAAGGTGCAGGTGCCCACTCGTGCTGACTGACGTGGTATTCACACAGGCTGCAGGTGACGACTGGACAAATACAGCCCAAGCTGCAGTGAGCAGGATGAGGAGGGCGGGGGAACAGGAAAAGCCACCCACAGCTCCCCCAGCCGGCAGACCTGATTCCAGACTCTGCCTGTGTTAGCTCATCCATCCCTCACTCACTGCACGAGGAAGGTGCCATCATGACTGCGTTGCACAGAAGAGGAGACTGAGGCACACAGCAGCAACCTCACTCGTCCAGGCCATGTGACTTGAGGGAGCTGTGAAGGGCGTCTGCATACCTGAGTTAACCCAGCTGGACAGCGAAGGCTCGCCTCCTCTGTCACCCACGCGGCCCCCCAGGACCATCTTGGGTACATGTTGGCCTCAACAACTGGGCAGTCTAAACCTCCCAGGGGCAAGCCACTGTGTCCACCCAGAAGCCCTACTCCGGCTGCTTCCCATGGCTCCTGCAGCTCAAATGAGTGAGGGGTTAGCTCCCTGTCCCAGGCACGGATCACGAACACAGGACTGGGTCCCGCCCTGTCCCCTCCTCTTTCTCTCTCTGTCCCTCTCACCTTCTCACTTCCACCAGACACTAAATCCAGAGATCGGCTTCGCTGGCTGCCAAGGCCATGTTTATCTGCACGGTGAGTGGGCATTCTGAGAACGCCGCCTGTGCTAAGCTGGTGTTTGCATTTCACTCAAGAAAGCAGGACCCGCCTTGTCCAGGCCCCCGGCGCTCCCACCTCGGCCGCATGTGTGGGCAGCATGGCCGCCCTAGACCCCTGCTCTCTGCTGTCAGCCTGTCTCCAGCTACACACCAAGATCCAGCAAATCTTCCTTGAAATGGGCTCCTCCTAGCTGTGCCATCGGAAAAACACCATCACGCATGTGCCTGGGGGGCCAAGACAACTTTTTGGGGCAGTAAAAATTACACATCTAACTTTCTACCCACTTTTAACTCATTGAGGTTATTATTATTTTGCATTCTACTTCCAGGAATAGGTCTAACAAAATTAGTATAAATGCACAGTCTTCATAGTGTTATTTAGATCAGCAAAATGGGAACACCATTAGAGGTGCCACAAAATGTGTGTGGCTGACATCGAGTGGAGAAGGAGGCACGATGGCGCAGGAAGAGGCTGAGAGCTCAGCTGCGTGAGGCGGCGCAGAGCGTGGGCTGCGGGGGTGGGGGGAGAAACAGCGCAGGCTTTGGGGGGCGGAAGAGGCGCAGAGCGCGGGCTGCGGTGGGGGGAGAAAGAGCGCAGGCTCTGGGGGATGGAAGAGGCCCAGAGCGCAGGCTGCGGAGGGGGGAAGAGGCGCAGGGCGCGGGCTGCAGGGGAGCACGCAGAAGGGGCAAGAGTCCTTCCGGACAGTGCACATATGGGCACGCATTTTCTTCTCTGTGCTCTACGTAGACACCAATTTAATCAGTGACTGAGAAGCAGCAAAATACCGACCTGGCTTTCTTTCTGCCAAGAACTGTGACTGCCTTCACTGCTCCGTGCGGGCCGCCCCGCCTAGAACCCCTAATCCCTGCCTTCTGGAAATTGGCTCCACTCAGAGCAGCCTCCCCATTGCGGGAGCTCCCTGGTGCTGTGCCTGTGTGGGTCAGGGGACACACAACCCTCTGCCTCTCTGCCCCTGCCCCACTCATCCGCCAAGTCCCAGCACAAATGCCACCTTTGGCAGAGCTGTGCTGGCTCAGAGGGGCTTGTACTGATCTCTCAGCCCCTCGGTCCCTCAGCACGGGCTCTATGCCACGGCTCAGCACTGACCAGCAGGCCCTGTCGCGTGTGACTCCTGGGCGGCCTCACGGGCTCTATGACACGGCTCAGCACTGACCAGGCCCTGACACGTGTGATTCCTGGGCGGCCTAGCGTGTGATCTTCGGTGTGCTCAAATTAGATCACAAGCTCCTTCCAGGCAAGGACTCTGTTGCACTATTTTTGTGTCCGGCCCAGGGCTGACTCACAAACAGCACTCGGCAGTCACTGGCTGACACCGGGAACACCGGCTTTAACACTCAGAAGCAGCTTGCTGACGGCTCCGTCTCACCCACTGCACACTTCAAAAAAACACCGCCAAGGTTCACATGTCCATTGGAGCCGACCAAGCGAGACACCGCTCTCAGGAAATGAGGCTGCAATGGTGTTCAAAAGTTTGTAACTCATGTGACTCCTCATTCGAACTGAGTCCCTCCTGTCAGTTAGACTTGGTAAAACATACAAGGTCTGTACTACCATGGCCAGAGGAAAGAAGTGACATGAGAAACGACAAATACGGAGATCCCCCTGGGCGTGGAGGTGTCAGACACTTTCTAATGCAAATCCACAAGTACCCACAACCAGACCCTTAGCCCGGGGCTAAGACCCCCTGAAGTAGAGGAGGGTGGGGCACCAGGCACGGGCAGGGCCCTGTTGTTTAGGGCCAGGGCTTCTCTCATCTCACTGCCAAAGCAGAGTCCGTGTACGATGCCAACGCTCACACACACAGGGCACAGCACCAGGAGCCCCCCAGCCTTCCCCAGGTCAGCAGCTTGCCCAGTGGAACCACGTCTTTCACAGACCAGCCACCCTGAGCCTTGGCCTTCAAATCCACTGTCTCTGTTGTGCAAACTTATCCACCGCCTCCCCTCTTTCCAGGCCATCCCCAGGCAGCCCCTTTATCCTGGTGCAATGATTTCAGGAGCAGTGGGGCGAGGGGGTGTGCCCTGGTGGTGGCTGGTCCTCTGGATGGGGGGGTGTGCACTCAAGAGGGGTGGGTGCACCCTCAGGATGGGGCTCTGCCCAGTCTTGTCCTTCCGCGTGTCCACAACTAGATGGGGCCAACCGAGACCCGTCGCTAGGGCCAAGCTGGAGCAACCTCACTGCCTGCTGTTTTTCCCTCTGCCGGGTTGATGGGTGCTCTGGCGTGGGAAGATGTGAAAATGCTGGTTCAGACCCTGGTCAGGGGCAGCAGAGGACAGGGCGGGACGTGAGATTCACCACTACAAGGACCCGCCTTCAGAGAAGCCTCCACTTAAGCTCCTGAATGCATCTCCTGCAGCGCCAAGCCGGGCACCCTCATGCACCTGCGTCCCACTTGAACCAGCTCTGAGTCACTGACGCTGGGGGCAGGGCCTGGCCTAGACACGCAGGAGTCACCAAGCCTGGTCCCCTGGGCCTGGCACTTCCAGCACCACAGGAACAGAAGCACACTGGGGGTTGACAGCGTCAGGAAGACACATGGGTTTTCAGAGGCTCCAGAGAGAAACCGCCTCTGGCAGTTAAGGCCTGGTGGAGAGGGCAGCGGGGCGGTGTACCTGCTCGGCTGACATACCTGTGACATCCAACGGACGCTTTTTTAGAGCAGTGACCACTGGCCCGTCTTTCCTGCGTAACAGGGGGCTGCTCCGTCTTTCGGCCACTTTCTGCTTTAGCCTGGACCGTAATTTCAGATTCGGTTCAGAAGCTGCACGAAAAGGAGATGTCATTACAGCCAGGCAGACACCACTGGGCTCCAGGTGACCCTGGGGGTGCTCAAGCATACGCACACTGGTAAATACAGTCACTCAATGCTGCCGTGCTGTTGCAGCGGAGAGTGAAGGGAACGCCGGATGCAGGGGACTCCACCTCCGCTCCTCAGTCCCACAGAACCAGTACAATGGCTCTGGTGCTTCGGGTGCATTTCTGCGGCCACAGCAGTATACAAGCGCTGGTGGTGTCTTCACAGAATCCTGCCACTACTGCCTTTACCAGCAGATGGGAACATGACTGACCACCTGATTTACTGGGTGTGGCAGGAGGCTGGTGAGGTGTGAAGTCAACGGCGACGTCTCGTAACGAATGCTCTTCTAGACAATTCGCCCCAAACTTTATAGCTGTGCTGCTGTAACATCAGAGAAAGCCTGACAAACAGGGATGAGGGCCTTGGCCCAGGGATGTGAGGCTGACGTCTAAGCTGCACGCTCTCTTGCTCACCTGTGCATCGCTCCGGCTACATCAGTCAGTGAGGCCTCCAGAGCGCGAGGCTGCTGTCCCGCCCCCACCTGGTGAGGCTCGGCAGAGCCCATCCCAACACCTGCGCCAGCTACGCCTTTGACCTGGCCACAGGGGGCAGGTACTGGGGATGGTTTGGTTTCCGTGGACAGCTCTGCCTGTGTGGACAGAGCCGTGTGGCAATCTGCACCTTCCAGCCCACCATAGTCCCCAACTCATCTGCATCTGGAACCCAAACCTCTGGGGCGGGGCCTGCCTTGGGAAGCAGCAGGGATCTAATGGGCAGCAAGCAGAGGCAGAGAAATCCCCAAAGCTGCCTGGGAGAGGCTACCGGCTTTCAGAGTCCAGAACAGCGGCAAGAATATCCCTGCGGAGACGGCTGTCACACGAGCCTTTGAGGTCTGAGCTTTCGCTTGGCTATTTTCAAGATTCTACCACTTGTAGATTTGCAAATCGGTGAGATTCTACCTCTTTTGTAAAGACGCAGCACTTCTGCTTTCCTTAGTCTTTCTGGGGCAGTAAGTTCACTGCTTCCAGAGCAAGAAATGAGATGAACTTTCTCCTGGAAGCAGGACTGACATGGGCTGGGTGATGGGGACCAGACCCCGTGTGACTTCACTCTTTGGGACATGCGGGCAGCCCCAGGCTGTCTCCACTTTGGGCTTTGAGTCAGGGATGGGTGTTCTGCAGGTCTTGGGAAGACGTGGGAGAAGCAAGCTCCCGAATCAGGCTTCCCGGAGAAACCAAAGATGCGCTGTGAGAAGCTGCCTCAGCCCGCTCTGCAGGGAGCCAGGCCTCTGTGCTGTGGCCCAGGGCACCCAGATGATGACAGATGATGGATTCAGCCACAAGCCGGCCTCTCCACAGGCTACAGACCAGGACACATTTCTGTACCTCACACAACCGACCGAGGCAAGCAGTCTACTTCTATTTCCACATTAGATTTCTAGCCATTATTTAACAAACAAAACAAAACAAAGCCAAGCCAGAAAACCCATCCGACGACCAGGCAAGAAAATACCTCTTCTCCCACCACCCCATCTCCACAGAAACCCACGTGGGCTCTGCAGGGATCTGCCAGGCCTGGGACAGGAGCTGCTGATGGTGGGCAGGAGCCACTTCTGAGGCAGGGGCTGTGTGTGCCCACAGAAGAGCACAGGGTCCCTGGTCTGTGTGAAAGGCCTTCCTTGGTGGCTGCCCTGCGACACAGAGCATCGGGAGGCGAGCCTGACACGGTCACTCCAGGCCGCCGAGGACTGGCTGTGCTGGCCTGGTGCACGGCCTCCCCCAGCCCCTGAGGGGTTCATCACGGCACCACCAGGTCATCAGTCGGGCAGATCCTCCACAGCCCCGCTGGGGACCCCAGACTGCTTGTGCGGAGAGTCCCACAGCAGCTGCCTCGCCCCTCCCCTCCCCTCCCCTCCCACAGACCTCTGCTCCACACCCCTCCCAAGGCTGACCTGACCCCTGACAGCCCCACCGACCCCATCACAGTGCCACTGCCCTGTCTTCCTCACAGCTGCCTTTCCACCACCTGGAATCCTTCTGTCCCCTCACCTGCGTACCCTCTGCCTCCCAGCCTGCACACCTGCCTGGCCTCCCTGATTCTAGCTGACTGCGTGTCCCGGGTTGGCTCTGCTTGCAGGGTGGCTGCGCCTGACCAGGAGGCTCCAGGCCACCATTCCAGCAGTGCCAGGGACAGCATGGCTTGAGGCTGGGGCCCTCCACTCGTCCCTGCCCCGTGGGCTATTCAGCACTTTGACTTCCCAGAGGAACCTATCAGATAAGCAGTTTCAGATGCAGGGCTAGGGGAGGGGTTGAGCAGCAGCACGTGGGCCTGGAGAGAAGGGGGATGCCGGAGACCGCCCAGGGCACATGCAGCAGCCTTCCTGGGGAGGACTGAGCAGCGCCGGGGTCTGGAAGGCAGCCGAGGGAGCTGCACACCATGAGGCCCGTCTCACTGCTGCTTTCAGGGTGGCCAGCCTTCCTGCTTCCTGCCCTCCCTCATTCCTTCCAGTCCAGGAGTCTCCTAGATTGACTTAAGACATAGTGACCTACAGTTTCAGCCATTCCAATGCATGTGTCTTAAAGCTTGCACAATGTCTGTAACTCCGGTCATTCTCCCAAAGGCAGCCAAAGCGGAGGATGCAGGTAAGCCAGCACCTGGCAAGGTGGGGGCCGAGGCCGCATGTGCACCGGCCCGCTGCAGCAGCCCCTCACCGCCCTTGCAGGCCTTCAGCGCATTCCAGACACGAAGTTGCCAGGCAGAGGAACTGCAGGAATCAGATTCCACCCAACAGGGCTGCAGGGCCAGTGACAGAACTGAAGCATCAGGCCGGAGGCCTTGTGGGAGAGTCGCTCCCACCAAGCACAGGTGAGGGCAGGAAGGACGCCAACTGCACTTCCAAATGCAGTGTGTGCTCCGCAGGGAACACGGGGCAGGTGGGATCACTTCTCCTGAAGCCAATCAAGTAAATTACTAATTAAGGCAGATACAACACTCCAATCACAAGCTTAAAATTCAGAACAATGCCTAGCAGCTGCCTCCATCCTTTTGCCAGAAGCAGTTCTGACTGGGACACAGGTTCGCTCTTCCCAACTTAAACTGCGGGCCTGAGAGTCAGCTGCAGGTGAGGCAGCTCTTGGAGCCAAATGCTTTAACCGTTTAGCAGCCGGGTTTAGAGGGGACATGTGTGCACCTGGCAGGAGTGTGGAGGGTGATTTCTGTGCTGGCCTGATGCAATGTCCAGGAGCCAGCGAGAAAAGAACCCGCTGATTTGGCAGCAGAGAATGCGCAGAACATTGCCTTGCGAACAAGGCACGCGGGCGGAGCTGGAGAGAGAAGGAGGCACCTGCTTCCCGCTGCTCTTCCCTGAAATCCTAAAGTGACAGCAAAGGAAATAATAAAGAGGATAAAGCCAAGAGGACAAAACTAAGGTGCTACAGGAAGGGGCTGGAGAAAAAGTGGAGAATTGTCAGAAGGGGGAGTGATGAAAAATGGGAGCGAAAAGGTCCTACAACAAATACGGTAAACGCCAGGAGAGGAGAGAATCAGCAGGGTGGAGAAAATCACCAGCCAACTCCAGACCTACCCTCCGCCGAAGAGGAGCTGGACACGGAGGCAGAGAAGCCCCCACCTGCAGGATCCCAAACTGCCCCAGGGCTCTGGGGACAAAGGCGCGGACTTGAGAAGTTTTGGACTCGGCGACAGCCACTTTGAGGGCAAGACGATGGCCTGAAAACCCTGCAGGTAATAACTTCTGTCCACAATCAACTTATCAGCCAAGAGTACAACAGAATAAAGAGGTTTACCCGCAAAGGAGGACTCCCAGAAACTCATGTTCCATGCACGATTTCTTCAAGAGCCGATGGAAGACAGGCACGACCACAATGGTGAAGGAAAGCAAGCACAAAGGAGGCTGTAGAGCGAGGCTACAAAGGCCGTGGAGCCCCGGGAAGGAGGCGGGGGCCAGGCCAGGAGAGCAGACCGTCCAGACACACCGGGAAGTGCGGCCGGAACCACCAGACGGCTTGCGGTGCCTGGCTGTGTGGTGGAGAGTCTCCCAGGTCTGCTGAACCGTGGGCCTGATTTAATAACAGGCAGGTGCGGACTAAGCAAATAAGAAAATGATCAACTTCCGGAAAAATTTCTACCAGAAGGATGCAGCCAGGGTGCGCTCTGCGGTTCTGCTGTGAGCGTGACATACGCTGTAATGGCGCAGGCTGGGCAGGCGGAGGCAGGGACGGCTGCTTTCCTGTCATGAACATCGTGGGGGTCCATGATGAATGTGCGTTTATTTACTTCGGTAAAAATAAAAAGATAATTCTGGCTGGACGCAATGGCTCACGCCTGCAACCCCAGTACTTTGGGAGGCCGAGGCTGGTGGATCACCTGAGGTCAGGAGTTCGAGACCAGCCTGACCAACATGATGAAACCCCGTCTCTACTAAAATATAAAAATTAGCCGGGTGGAGTGGCGGCAGCTATAGTCTCAGCTACTCGGGAGACTGAGGCAGGAGAATCACCTGAACCCAGGAGGTGGAGGATGTCCAGCCTGGGTGACAGAGTGAGGGTCTGTCTCTAAATAAATAAATAAAATAAAAAGACAATTCTAAAACGATGGACTGGAATCTAACTTCTATAACACAGGAAGAAACAGGATGGAAAACAACATATAAACAATACCTACAAAGGAACAAGAAAAGACAATGCCCAAGACAAGAACAGATGAACGGGCTGCCACTCAACAGCACCCATTCCGCAATGATGGAGCCGCCCCGCGCACCCTGCATGGCTCCAGATGCTGGGCATAGGGCAGCTCAGAAGACAGGCCCTGGTTGGGGTGGCCCCGCTGCCCAGCTCCGGGGCACCGGCCACCCTGGACCCTTTGCATCCTGCTCACGTGGTACTGGGGGGGAGGGAAGCACGCCTGCCCTTGACTGACAGCGACAGCACCGCTCACTCAAACACCAA